GGAGATGGGGACACTCAAGTGCGCTGGTTGGGGACAGCCAGGTGGGTCAGTGTCACCTGGGTGGGGTTGGTGTCACCCAACTGGGGTCAGTGTCACCCAGCTGGGGTCAGTGTCACCTACAGGGGGCTGGTGTCACCCAACTGGGGTCAGTGTCAGCCAAGAGAGTTTGGGGACACGCAGGTGGGTTGATGTCATCTGGGTGGGGTTGGTGTCACCCAGCTCTGGTCGGTGTCACCCAAGGGAGTACAGGGACACCTGGGTGGGGCTGGTGTCACCCAATTGGGGTCAGTGTCACCCAAGTGGGGTCGGTGTCACCCCAGTACGTCGGGGACACCAAGGCTGCTGGCAAAGCTGGAGGCACCCGGTGCCACCACAGCTGGTGCCACTGTGGGGGTGCGGCCACCACGGCTGCCCTGTTTGGTGGGTGGAGGTGACACGGTGCCATCACGGTGCCATCACGGTGCCATCACGGTGCCATCACGGTGACACGGTGCCATCACGGTGCCAGGCACGGACGAGAACCCGGCCGGCAGCAACAGGACCTTCGTGAGCCACCAGCAGTGCAGGGACAGCCTGAGGCTGCAGAGGGGACAGGACTACCTGGTCTGGGGACAGGCCAGCGACCTCTGGGCCAGCGGCAGACAGTAGGACACGGGCACAATGTCCCCAATGTCCCCTGGGTCCCCACTGTCCCCATTGTCCCCACTGACCCCATTGTCCTCTATATCCCCATGGTCCCCATTGTCCCCTGAATTCCCACTGTCCCCATTGTCCCCTGTGTCCCCATTGTCCTCTATATCCCCATGGTCCCCATTGTCCCCTGGGTCCCCATTGTCCTCTATATCCCCATGGTCCCCATTGTCCCCTGGGTCCCCACTGTCCCCATTGTCCCCACTGTCCCCATTGTCCCCATTGTCCCCATTGTCCCCACTGTCCCCATTGTCCCCATTGTCCCCATTGTCCCCTGGGTCTCCACTGTCCCCATTGTCCCCACTGTCCCCATTGTCCCCACTGTCCCCATTGCCCCTCTATCCCCACTGTCCCCATTGTCCCCTGTGTCCCTGGTGTCCCCATTGTCCTCTATATCCCCATGGTCCCCATTGTCCTCTGAATTCTCAATGTCCCCATTGTCCCCAACGTCCCCTGAATTCCCAATGTCCCCATTGTCCCCACGGTCCCCACTGTCCCCATTGCCTCTATATCCCCATTGTCCCCATTGTCCCCTGTGTCCCCAGTGTCCCCTACTGCCCCCATATCCCCACATTTGTCCCCATGTCCCCATCATCCCCATGTTTGTCCCCTGAATTCCCAATGTCCCCATTCTCCCCTGAATTCTGGATGTCCCCACTCGTCCCCATTGCCTCATTGTCCCCACCGTCCCCACTGTCCCCATTGCCCCTCTGTCCCCATTGTCCCCATTGTCCCCTGAATTCTGGATGCCCCCATTGCCCCATTGTCCCCTGTGTCCCCAGTGTTCCAACTGTCACCACTGTCCCCATGTCCCCATTGTCCCATGAATTCCCAATGTCCCCATTGTCTCCATTGTCCCCGCTGTCCCCTATATCCCCATTGTCCCCTATATCCCCTTTATCCACACTGCCCCCACTGTCCCCACTGTCCCCATGGCTGTCCCCATTGTCCCCATATCCCCATTGCCCCCATTGTACACTGAATTCCCAATGTCCCCATTGTCCCCAATATCCCCTTTATCCCCACTGTCCCCATGTCCCCATGGCTGTCCCCTGTGTCCCCATATATCCCCTATATCCCTATAATCCCCACTGCCCCCATTGTCCCCATTATCCCCATGACTGTCCCGATGTCCCCAGCTGTCCCCGTGTCCCCACGGCTGTCCCCATGTCCCCAGGTACAGGTACCTGATTGGGAAGGACACCTGGCTGGAGCAGTGGCCCTCGGAGGCCGCGTGCCAGGACGCGCCGCTCCAGCGCCGCTGCCAGGACTTCGTCGAGTTCTCCGAGAACATGGCGTTCTTCGGCTGTCCCACCTGAGTCCCTGAGGTGCCACCACCCTGGGGTGCCACCACCCTGGGGTGTCACCAACCCTGGGTGCCACCAACCCTGGGTGCCACCAACCCTGGGTGCCACCAACCCTGGGTGTCACCAACCCTGGGGTGTCACCAACCCTGGGTGTCACCAACCCTGGGTGCCACCACCCTGGGTGTCACCAACCCTGGGGTGTCACTATCCTGGGGTGCCACCACCCTGGGTGTCACCAACCCTGGGGTGTCACCACCCTGGGGTGTCACCAACCCTGGGGTGTCACCAACCCTGGGGTGTCACCACCCTGCTGGTGGCACCCGGTTCTGGGTGTCACCGCTCTTGTTCGGTCACTTTTTGTCCCCTCCTCGCCTTTGTTTGTTTGTTTGTTTTTGGTTAAAAAAGTCATTTCTGAGCAATTGGCTTTGGTGTGTCCTTGAAGGGGGGGACATGGCAGGGGACATGGGGACACCAAGGGGACATGGGGACATCACAGCGGACATGGGGACACCATGAGGGACATGGGGACACCAGAGGGGACATGGGGACACCATAAGGGTCAGCAGGACACCACAGGGTCAAGGGACCCCAATCCCCACACCCCAAAATCTGCACTCCACATTTCCCACCCCAAATTTCGCACCCCAAACCCTGCACCCCAAACCCTGCACCCCACATTTCTCACCCCACACTCAGCACCCCAAACTCTGCCCCTCCAAACCCCACACCCCAAATCCTGCACCCCACATTTCCCACCCCAGACCCTGCCCCCCTCATTTCTCATCCCAAACCCCGCACCTGGGGCAGTTTTGGGGGGGGGCTCTGGGGCATTTCTACGCTGCTGCCCTCACCTGCCCCTGCCTCCACCTCGGCGCAAGAGCAACACAGGTGTGCCCAGGTGTGCCCAGGTGTGTAAGGGGTGTGCCCAGGTGTGCCATGGGTGTGCCCATGTGTGTCCAAGATGTCCCAGGTGTGTCCCAGGTGTGTCTGAGATGTCCCAGGCGTGCCCCAAGTGTGTCCAAGATGTTCCAGGTGTGCCCCAAGTGCCCCCAGGTGTACCCAGGTGTGTCCAGGTGTGTCCTATGTGTATCCCAGGTGTGTCCCCAGGTGTGTCCAGGTGTGTCCCAAGTGTACCCCAAGATGTCCCAGGTGTGTCCCAGGTGCCCCCAGGTGTGTCCCAGGTGTGCAATGGGTGTGCCCAGGTGTGTCTGAGATGTCCCAGGTGTGCAAGGTGTGTCTCAGGTGTGCCCCAAGTGCCCCCAGGTGTGTCCCAGGTGTATCCAGGTGTGTCCAAGATGTCCCAGGTCTGTCCCAGCTGTCCCCAGGTATATCCCAGGTGTCCCCAGGTGTGTCCAGGTGCCCCCAGGTGTACCCAGGTGTGCCCAGGTGTGTCCCAGCTGTCCCCAGGTGTGTCCCAGCTGTCCCCAGGTGTGTAATGGGTGTGTAATGGGTGTATCCCCAGGTGTGTCCCCAGCTGTCCCCAGCTGTGTCCCTCCCCTCCCCCACAGCCGTTCCCGTTTCTCTGTTTTTTTATCTCCAAATCTTTTCCACGAAAATACAAAAAATATCCCGGGGGGGGGGAGGGGCCAGCAGGTGACACCGGGGGGGGGGGAGGGGGGAGCTGGGGGTGTGACAGCGCCAGGTGACACCAGGTGGGGGTGACTGACAGTGTGTGACAGTGACAGTGTGTGACAGGTGTGTGACAGGTGTGTGACAGTGACAGGTGTGTGACAGTGACAGGTGTGTGACAGTGACAGGTGTGTGACAGGTGTGTGACAGGTGTGTGACAGTGTGTGACAGGTGACAGTGACAGGTGTGTGACAGGTGAGTGACAGTGACAGTGTGTGACAGTGACAGGTGTGTGACAGTGTGTGACAGGTGACAGTGTGCGACAGGTGACACTGTGTGACAGTGTGTGACAGTGACAGGTGTGTGACAGTGACAGTGTGTGACAGGTGAGTGACAGTGTGACAGTGTGTGACAGGTGTGTGACAGGTGTGTGACAGGTGTGTGACAGGTGTGTGACAGTGACAGTGTGTGACAGGTGTGTGACAGTGACAGTGTGTGACAGTGACAGTGTGTGACAGGTGTGTGACAGTGACAGTGTGTGACAGTGTGTGACAGGTGTGTGACAGGTGTGTGACAGTGACAGGTGTGTGACAGGTGTGTGACAGGTGACAGTGTGTGACAGGTGTGTGACAGGTGTGTGACAGTGACAGGTGTGTGACAGGTGTGTGACAGTGACAGGTGTGACAGTGTGTGACAGGTGACACTGTGTGACAGGTGTGTGACAGGTGTGTGACAGTGACAGTGTGTGACAGGTGTGTGACAGGTGACACTGTGTGACAGGTGTGTGACAGTGACAGTGTGTGACAGGTGACAGTGTGTGACAGTGTGTGACAGTGACAGGTGTGTGACAGGTGACAGTGTGTGACGGTGTGTGACAGGTGTGTGACAGTGACAGGTGTGTGACAGGTGTGTGACAGTGACAGTGTGTGACAGTGTGTGACAGGTGTGTGACAGTGACAGGTGTGTGACAGGTGTGTGACAGTGACAGTGTGTGACGGTGTGTGACAGGTGTGTGACAGTGACAGTGTGTGACGGTGTGTGACAGGTGTGTGACAGGTGTGTGACAGTGACAGGTGTGTGACAGGTGACAGTGTGTGACAGTGACAGGTGTGTGACAATGACAGTGTGTGACAGGTGTGTGACAGGTGTGTGACAGGTGTGTGACAGTGACAGTGTGTGACAGGTGTGTGACAGTGACAGGTGTGTGACAGTGACAGTGTGTGACAGGTGTGTGACAGTAACAGGTGTGTGACAGTGACAGGTGTGTGACAGGTGTGTGACAGTGTGTGACAGGTGTGTGACAGTGACAGGTGTGTGACAGGTGTGTGACAGGTGTGTGACAGTGACAGTGTGTGACAGTGACAGGTGTGTGACAGTGTCAGTGTGTGACAGTGACAGTGTGTGACAGGTGTGTGACAGTGACAGTGTGTGACAGTGTGTGACAGGTGTGTGACAGTGACGGTGACCGGCTCAGGTGGCACCGGGGGGGGGGGGACACACAAAGGATTTGGGGGTCCCCAGGGAATTTTGGGGGGGGCTCAGGGCACTTTGGGGGTCCAGCAGATTTTGGGGGGGGGGGGGTTCCAGCTTTTGGGGGGGGTCCCCCCTAATTATGGGGGGCCCCAATCCCTTGGGGGGGTCCCGGGAGGTTTTGGGGGGTCCCCAATCCCACAGGCCCTGGGGGGGTTTGGGGTCCCCATTTGGGGGGAACCCAGGGGTTTTGGGGTTTCCCGGGGTTTTGAGGGTCCTGGGATTTTGGGGTCCCCATCAAGAGGGGTCCCAGTGGTTTTTGGGGTGTCCCAGAGGTTTGGGGTCCCCAATCCCGGGGAGTTTTGGGGTCCCTGTTCAAGACAGTCCCGGGATTTTTGGGGGTCCCAGCAGTTTTTGGGGTGTCCCAGGGAGTTTTGGGGTGTCCTGATTCAGGGGAGCCCCTGGGAGTTTTGGGGGTGTCCCAGGGTTTTGGGGTCCCCAGTCCTGAGGGGTTTTGGGGTCCCCATTCGGGGGGCACCCAGGGGTTTTTAGGGTCCCAGTGGTTTTTGGGGTTTCCCAGGGTTTTGAGGGTCCTGGGATTTTGGGGTCCCCGAGTTTTTGGGGTGTCCCAGAGTTTTGGGGTCCCCATTCGGGAGGGTCCCAGCAGTTTTTGGGGGTCCCAGGGTTTTGGGGTCCCCATTCAGGGATGTCCAGTTGGTTTTGGGGTCCCCATTCAGGGGGGTATCCTGGGGTTTTTGGGGTGTCCCAGGGAGTTTTGTAGTGTCCTGCGATTTTTGGGGTCCCAGGGTTTTGGGGTCCCCATTTGGGGGTGTCCCAGGGTTTTGGGGTCCCAGTGGTTTTGTGGTCCCGGGTTTTGGGGTCCCAGTGGTTTTTGGGGATCCCGGGTTTTGGGGTTCCCATTTGGAAGCGTCTCGGGGTTTTGGGGTCCCCATTTGGGGGTGTCCCAGGATTTTTGGGTGTCCCGGGTTTTGGGGTCCCAGTGGTTTTTGGGTTCACAGTGGTTTTTGGGGTGTCCTGGGGTTTTAGGGTCCCAGTAGTTTTTAGGGTCCCAGTGGTTTTGGGTGTCCTGGGTTTTGGGGTCCCCATTTAGGGGTGTCTCAGGGTTTTGGGGTCCCCATGTAGGGGTGTCTCGGGGTTTTTGGGGTCCCGGGTTTTGGGGTCCCCATTTGGGGGTGTCCCAGGGTTTTGGGGTCCCCGTTTGGGGGTGTCCCAGGGTTTTGGGGTCTCGGGTTTTGGGGTCCCCATTTGGGGGTGTCCCAGGGTTTTGGGGGTCCCGGGTTTTGGGGTCCCCATTTGGGGGTGTCCCAGGGTTTTGGGGTCCCCGTTTGGGGGTGTCTCGGGGTTTTGGGCTCCCGGCGGTTCTGGGGTCCCCCCCAGGTGTTTTTGGGGGGTCCCAGTTTCGGGGCTCTCAGCACCGCCCGGCCTTGGCGTCGCCGATGGCGCCCCAGACGTCGAACACGAACTCGTCCGGGAAGGCGAAGTCGCCGAGCTGAGCGTCCAGAGCCTCGGCCAGAGCGTCGGGGTCACGGGCGTCACGGCCCAGCTCCACCATGGTGGCCGCTGTGGGGACATTGGGGACATTGGGGACACATTGGGGACATGGGGGACACATTGGGGACACTGTCAGGGACATTGGGGACACATCGGGGTCACGGGCGTCACGGCCCAGCTCCACCATGGTGGCCGCTGTGGGGACATTGGGGACACTGTCAGGGACATTGGGGACATTGGGGACATTGGGGACACACTGGGGTCACAGGCGTCACGGCCCAGCTCCACCATGGTGGCCACTGTGGGGACATTGGAGACATTGGGGACACATTGGGGACACATTGGGGACATTGGGGACACATCGGGGTCACGGGCGTCACGGCCCAGCTCCACCATGGTGGCCGCTGTGGGGACATTGGGGACACATTGGGGACACATTGGGGACATTGGGGTCACGGGCGTCACGGCCCAGCTCCACCATGGTGGCGGCTGTGGGGACACATTGGGGACACATTGGGGACACTGTCAGGGACATTGGGGTCACGGGCGTCACGGCCCAGCTCCACCATGGTGGCCGCTGTGGGGACATTGGGGACACTCAGGGACATTGGGGACACATTGGGGACATTGGGGACATTGGGGACACTGGGGACACATTGGGGACACATTGGGGACACATTGGGGACACATTGGGGACACATTGGGGACATTGGGGTCATGGGCGTCGCGGCCCAGTTCCACCATGGTGGCGGCTGTGGGGACACTGGGGACACATTGGGGACACATTGGGGACATGGGGACATTGGGGGACATCAGGGGACATTGGGGACAGAGATGGGGACATCAGGGGACAGTCCAGGAGTCCCAGGGGGTTTTGGGGGGGTCCCCAGGATTTTGGGGTCCTGGATTTTGGGGCTCCCCCAGCTCGCAGGGCCTGGGGGGTTTGGGGCAATGGGGGCAGTTTGGGGTGATCCCGGGGGGTTTTTTGGGGGTTCCCCTGGGATTTTGGGGTCCTGGTTTTGGGGTTCCCCAGGATTTTGGGGTCCTGGATTTTGGGGTTCCCAGATTTTGGGGGGCTCCCCCAGCTCGCTGTCCCGGATGCCCATGGAGCTCTCCAGCAGAGCCTGGGGGGTTTGGGGTGATTGGGGCAGTTTTGGGGTGATCCTGGGGGTTTATTTAGGAGATTTCCAGGATTTGGGGTTTCCCTGGGACTTTGGGGTCCCGGATTTTGGGGTCCCTCAGGATTTTGGGGTGCCCGGGATTTTGGGGGGCTCCCCCAGCTCGCTGTCCCGGATGCCCCTGGAGCTCCCCAGCAGAGCCCGGGGGGTTTGGGGTGATTGGGGGCAGTTTGGGTGGGTTTGGGGTAATCCCGGAGGGGTTTTTTGGGGGTCCCCCAGGATTTTGGGGTTCCCCAGGATTTTGGGGTCCCCGGGATTTTGGGGTCCCCGGGATTTTGGGGGGCTCACCCAGCTCGCTGTCCCGGATGCCCATGTAGCTCTCCAGCAGATCGTCCACCTTGGCCACCGCGCGCTCCTCGAACGCCGACGGCTGCGGGAGTTTGGGGCAGTTTGGGGCAGTTTGGGGGATCCCCGAGGGTCCCAAGGGGATTTTGGGGGATCCCCGAGGGTCCCAAGGGGATTTTGGGGGTCCCGAGGGGATTTTGGGGGGTCCCCGAGGATCCCAAAGAGATTTTGAGGGTCCCCTGGCAGTTTTGGGGTCCCCAGGGGATATTTTAGGGTTCCCATGGATATTTTGGGGTGGTTTTGGGGCGGGTACCTGCTCCTGCAGCGTGGCCACTTTTGGGGTCTCTAGGGGATGTTTTGGGGTGGTTTTGGGGTGATTTTGTGCTGTTTTGGGTCCATACTGGCTCCTGCAGTGTGGCCGGTTTTGGGGGTTTTCAGGGTGTTTTTGGGGTGTTTTTGGGGTGTTTTCGGGGTGTTTTTGGGGTGATTTTTTGCCAATTTTGGTCCCTACCTGCTCCTGTCAGCGTGGCCGGTTTTGGGGGTGATTTTGGGGTGATTTTGGGGGTGGTTTTGGGGTGATTTTGGGGTGATTTTGGGGTGTTTTTGGGGTGGTTTGGGGGTGTTTTTGGGGTGTTTTTGGGGTGATTTTGGGGTGTTTTTGGGGTGGTTTTGGTCCCTACCTGCTCCTGCAGTGTGGCCAGTTTTGGGGTGGTTTTGGGGTGGTTTTGGGGTGGTTTTAGGGTGGTTTTGGGGTGGTTTTGGTCCCTACCTGCTCCTGCAGCATGGCCGGTTTTGGGGTGATTTTGGGGTGATTTTGGGGTGGTTTTGGGGGTGATTTTGGGGTGTTTTTGGGGTGATTTTGGGGTGTTTTTTGGGTGTTTTTGGGGTGATTTTGGGGGTGGTTTTGGGGTGATTTTGGGGTGTTTTTGGGGTGATTTTGGGGTGTTTTTGGGGTGGTTTTGGTCCCTACCTGCTCCTGCAGCGTGGCCAGTTTTGGGGTGGTTTTGGGGTGTTTTTGGGGTGGTTTTGGGGTGGTTTTGGGGTGTTTTTGGTCCCTACCTGCTCCTGCAGCGTGGCCGGGCCCCTCGAGCGCAGCCTCAGCGTCCCCCGGCCCGAGAGCACCTGGGGGGGCCCCCCCCGAGCCGAGACCCCCCCGGAGCGGGGCCCGACCCCGTCTGGGGACAGAGAGGGGACACGGGGGTCACAGAGGGGTCACAGAGGGGTCACAGAGGGGACACACAGGGGTCACAGAGGGGTCACAGAGGGACAGAGAGGGGACACAGGGGTCACACAGGGGTCACACAGGGGTCACACAGGGACAGAGAGGGGACACAGGGGTCACAGAGGGGTCACAGAGGGGTCACAGAGGGGTCACAGAGGGACAGAGAGGGGACACAGGGGTCACACAGGGGTCACACAAGGGAAGACACAGGGGTCACACAGGGGGTCCCCATTGCGAGGGCACCTTCAGACCTCCCCAGTACAGCCCAGTTCAATCCCAGCGCTCCCAGTTCAATCCCAGTCCCTCCCAGTGCTCCCAGTTGCTCACCCCATGCCCTCCTGGGCTCGGTCAGCCTCAGTCCAAAGCGGTGCCCATGGGGCAGCTCCAGCTCCATCCCAGTTCAATCCCATTCATTCCCAGTTCATTCCCATTCATTCCCAGTCCCTCCCAGTTCAATCCCAGTCCCTCCCAGCCCATCCCAGTCCCTCCCAGTTCAATCCCAGTACCCACCCCATGCCCTCCTGGGCTCGGTCAGCCTCAGCCTGAAGCGGTGCCCGCAGGGCAGCTCCAGCTCCATTGACCCCAGTTCAATCCCAGTGTTCCCAGTCCATCCCAGTTCAATCCCAGTGCTCCCAGTACCCACCCCATGCCCTCCTGGGCTCGGTCAGCCTCAGCCTGAAGCGGTGCCCGCGGGGCAGCTCCTGCAGCAGCCGCGCCACCTCAAAGTGCCGCGTCCCCACCAGGCTGCGCCCGTCCAGCGCCTCCAGCACGTCCCCGACGCCCACCTGGGGCGTGCGCGCCATCACCGAGCCCTCCCGGATCCGCTGGGGGACACAGACACACCTGGCTCACACCTGGGGACACCTGGGACACACCTGGGGACACCTGATCCACCTGTGTAACCTGTGTAACCTGGGTCACACCTGGGGCGTGCGCGCCATCACTGAGCCCTCCCGGATCCGCTGGGGGACACAGACACACCTGAACACACCTGGGGACACCTGGGTCACACCTGGGGACACCTGGATAACCTGTGTAACCTGTGTAACCCGGGTAACCTGGGTCACACCTGGGGCGTGCGCGCCATCACCGAGCCCTCCCGGATCCGCTGGGGGACACAGACACACCTGGCTCACACCTGGGGACACCTGGGGACACCTGGGAACACCTGGAGACACCTGGGACACACCTGGGGACACCTGAGCCACCTGTGTAACCTGGGTCACACCTGGGGCGTGCGCGCCATCACCAAGCCCTCCCGGATCCGCTGGGGGACAGGGAACACACCTGGCTCACACCTGGGGACACCTGGGGACACCTGGGTCACACCTGGACACACCTGGACACACCTGGGTAACCTGTGTAACCTGGGTAACCCGGGTAACCTGGGTCACACCTGGGGCGTTCGTGCCATCACCGAGCCCTCCCGGATCCGCTGGGGGACACAGACACACCTGGCTCACACCTGGGGACACCTGGGACACACCTGGCTCACACCTGGGGACACACCTGAGCCACCTGGGGACACCTGGGACACACCTGGGGCGTGCGCGCCATCACCGAGCCCTCCCGGATCCGCTGGGGGACAGGGAACACACCTGGGGACACCTGGGTCACACCTGGGGACACCTGGGTCACACCTGGGTAACCTGGGTAACCTGGGACACACCTGGGGACACCTGGGACACACCTGAGCCACCTGGGGACACCTGGGTCACACCTGGGGACACCTGAGCCACCTGTGTAACCTGGGTCACACCTGGGTAACCTGGGGTCACCTGAGGTCATCTCAGTCACCTGGGGGCACCTGGGGTCACCTGTTGTTGGTGATGGTGAGCCCCAGCACTGTCCCATTGTCCCCACCTGGCTGTCTCCAGGTGCATCTCACCTGTCCCAGGTGTGTCCCCTGGTGTGTCCCACCTGTCCCAGGTGTGTCCCCAGGTGTGTCTCACCTGTCCTAGGTGTGTCCCCAGGTGTGTCTCACCTGTCCCAGCTGTGTCCCCAGGTGTGTCTCACCTGCCCAGCTGTGTCCCCAGGTGTGTCCCACCTGTCCTAGGTGTGTCCCCAGGTGTGTCTCACCTTGCCAAAGGTGTGGCCCGTTCTGTTGTTGCTGATGGTGAGCCCCAGCACACACACCCAGGTGTGTCCCCAGCTGTCCCCAGGTGTCCCTCAGCTGTGTCTCACCTGTCCCAGGTGTGTCTCACCTTGACGAAGGCACAGCCTGCTCCATTGTGGCTGATGGTGAGCCCCATTGCCCCCACCCAGGTGTGTCTCACCTATCCCAGGTGTGTCTCACCTGTCCCTGTGTGTCCCCAGGTGTGTCTCACCTGTCCCTAGGTGTGTCCCCAGGTGTGTCTCACCTATCCCAGGCGTGTCTCACCTTGATGAAGGTGTAGCCTGCTCCATTGTTGCTGATGGTGAGCCCCAGCTGTGTCCCCAGGTGTTCCTACATGCACCCAGGTGTGTCCCTGGAGGTGTCCCCAGCTGTCCCCAGGTGTGTCTCACCTGTCTCTAGGTGTGTCCCCAGGTGTGTCCCCAGGTGTGTCTCACCTATCCCAGGTGTGTCCCCAGGTGTGTCTCACCTATCCCAGGTGTGTCTCCAGGTGTGTCTCACCTGTCCCAGGTGTGTCTCACCTTGATGAAGGCGTATCCAGCTCCATTGTCAGTGATGGTGAGGCCCAGGGCCTCCTCAGATTTCAGCACCTGCACTGTCCCTGTGTGTTCCCGTGTGTCCCTGTGTGTCCCCAGCTGTGTCTCACCTATCCCAGGTGTGTCCCAGGTGTGTCTCACCTATCCCAGGTGTGTCGCCAGGTGTGTCTCACATGTCCCAGGGTTGTCTCACCTGTCTCTAGGTGTGTCCCCAGGTGTATCTCACCTATCCCAGGTGTATCTCATCTATCCTAGGTGTGTCCCCAGGTGTGTCTCACCTGTCCCAGGTGTGTCTCCAGGTGTGTCTCACCTATCCCAGGTGTGTCCCAGGTGTGTCTCACCTTGATGAAGGCATATCCAGCTCCGTTGTCAGTGATGGTCAGCCCCAGCTGTGTCCCCAGGTGTTCCTACATGCACCCAGGTGTGTCCCTGGGTGTCCCCAGGTGTGTCTCACCTGTCCCAGGTGTGTCCCAGGTGTGTCTCACCTGTCCCAGGTGTGTCTCACCTTGATGAAGGCGTATCCCGCTCCGTTGTCGGTGATGGTCAGCCCCAGCGCCTCCTCAGATTTCAGCACCTGCACGTCCTTCTGGCGGCCCCGCGTGTGCGCGAAGATGAAATCCTCGAGCCCGATCTGCCCCCCCAGCAGCTTCTCCATGTCCACCTGGGGCGTGTTCAGCGTGCAGAACAGCACCTGGGGACAGGTGGGGACATTGGGGACACAGGAGAGCACCTGGGGACAGGTGGGGACATTGGGGACACAGGACAGCACCTGGGGACACTGGGGACACTGGGACATTGTCTGGGGACACACGGGGACACAGGACAGCACCTGGGGACAGCACCTGGGGACACTGGGGACAAACCCTGCAGCCCAATCTGCCCCCCCAGCAGCTTCTCCATGTCCACCTGGGGCGTGTTCAGCGTGCAGAACAGCACCTGGGGACAGGTGGGGACATTGGGGACACAGGACAGCACCTGGGGACAGGTGGGGACATTGGGGACACAGGACAGCACCTGGGGACACTGGGGACACTGGGGACACAGGACAGCACCTGGGGACACTGGGGACACTGGGGACACTGGGACATTGTCTGGGGACACTGGGGACAAATCCTCCATCCCAATCTGCCCCCCCAGGAATTTCTCCGTGCCCACCTGAGGGTGCTGAGTGTGCAGAACAGCACCTGGGGACACTGGGGACACTGGGGACACTGGCGTGTTCAGTGTGCCATCCCAGTCTATCCCAGTCTATCCCAGCCCCATCCCAGTATAGCCCAGTGTAACCCAGCCCATTCCCAGTATATCCCAGCCTAACCCACTCCATTCCCAGTATAACCCAGCCCATTCCCAGTCAATCCCAGTATAACCCAGTCCATCCCAGTCTATCCCAGTCCATCCCAGTCTCACCTCGCTGGGCAGAATCCTGAAGGCCTCCCCAATCTTCCCATACAGCTCCCACACGTTCCCGAACCCCATCCCAGTGTAACCCAGTATAACCCAGTATAACCCAGCCCATTCCCAGTATAACCCAGCCCATTCCCAGTCCATCCCAGTCCATCCCAGTCCATGCCAGTCTCACCTCGCTGGGCGGGATCCCGAAGGCCTCTCCTATTTTCCCGTACAGCTCCCGCACGTTCCCGAACCCCATCCCAGTATAACCCAGTATAACCCAGCCCATTCCCAGTATAACCCAGTCCATTCCCAGTCCATCCCAGTCCATCCCAGTCCATCCCAGTCCATGCCAGTCTCACCTCGCTGGGCGGGATCCCGAAGGCCTCTCCTATTTTCCCGTACAGCTCCCGCACGTTCCCGAACCCCTCCACGCGGCCGGTGGCGCTGCCGTGCGCCAGCTGCGTGTGGAACACCAGGCGGGGCCGCAGCGGCTGCGGAGGGGGCGCCGCCCCCGGGACCCCCCCCGGGGCCCCCCCGGGCTCTCCCGGGGCCCCCCCGCGGCCCCCGGCGCCCTCCTCGTTCTCCACCAGCGGCGGCGGCTTCTTGCGGCGGCCCAGCCCCAGCGGCATCGGGGCTCTGGGGGGCTACAGGGGACGGGGGGGCGCGTCCAGGAGGGGATTTGGGGGCGCTGGAAGGGTCTGGGGGGAGTTTGTGGGTCTGGGGAGGGTCTGGTGCGGAGTTTGGGGGGTTTGGGGGGATCTCGGTGGAGCTGAGGGGGTTTTGGGGGGTTTTGGGGGGCTCTAGAAGGGATTGGGGCGGGTCTAGGAGGGGATTTTGGGGGATTTGGGGGGGTCTTGGGGAGGTTTGGGGGGGTCTGGGAGAGTTTGGGGGGGTCTAGAAGGGATTGGGGGGGTCTAGGAGGGGATTTGGGGGGTGCTGGGGGGGCCTGAGGGGGTTTTGGGGAATCGGGGGGGAGTTTTGGGGGTTTGGGGGGATCTAGGTGCAGCTGAGGGGATCTGGAGCGGTTTTGGGGGGGGTCTAGAGGGGATTTTGGGGGCTCTTAGGGGGGTCTGAGGGGGTTTTGGGGAGTCTGGGGGAGTTTTGGGAGATCTTGGGAGGGGATTTTGGGGGGGTCTGGGAGAGTCTGGGGGGGATTAAGGTGGAGCCGAGGGGGTCCGGAGGGGTTTGGGGGGGTCTGGGAGGGTCTGGTGTGGGGTTCAGGGGGGATTTTGGGGGGGTTCGGGGCTTTCTGGGGGGCGTTGAGTTGGTTTTGGAGGGTGCCCGGGGGGGGTCCCGGTGTCCCCGGGGTGGTCTCGGAGTGCCCGGGGGTTTCTTTTGAGCTCCCGGTGTCCCCGGGGGGGTCCCGGTGTATCCGGAGGGGTTTTGGGGGGGTCCCGGTGTCCCCGGGGTTTCTTTTTGGCTCCCGGTGTCCCCGGGGGTCTCTCGCTGCCCCCACCCCGAGGTCCGGGGGGGGTCCCGCTCTGCTCCGCTGGGGGCTGAAAGGCGAGGGGGGAAACTGAGGCACGCGGGGGGGGTCCCCGAGCCCCGGAACCCCCCGGAACCCCCCGGAACCCTCCCGGTTCCCCCCCGCTCCCCGGGCCCGGCTCCCCCCGGGACCCCCGGCCCGTCCCGGCCCCGGTTCCCACCGACCCCCGGCCCCGCCCCCTCCCGCACGCGGTCCCGGCCCCCCCGAGCTCTGCCCCGGTCCCGGTCCCGGTTCCGTTTCCGGTTCCGGTTTCGGTCCCGGTCCCGGTCCCCCCTCACCGGCCGGGCGCTGCTGCCGGAGCGGCACTTCCGGGAGGGCGTGGCCAAACCCCGCCCGCACCAATCAGCGCCGCCGCCCCGCCCTGCGCGGACCAATCAGCGCGGCCGCCCCGCCCCGCGCGGCCCAATGGGAGGCGGGGGGGGGCAGGAAAAGGCGTGGCCGCTCCCTCCCCCCCCAGCGCCGCCGGCAATGGGCGCGCCCGCGCTCGCAGCCAATCAGGAGCCAGCACGGAGCGTTACGGGGGCGGGGCATGGACGGGGAGGGTGGGAAGGGGCGGGGCCAGAAGAGCGAAGGAGCGGGGGAGGGGCGGAGCACAAAGGGGCGGGGCTGAGACCAAAGGGGCGGGGCAGACCCAAAAGGGCGGGGCTGAGACCCTAAAGGGGCGGAGCCGGGATCAAAGGGGCAGAGCTCAGACCCCAAGGGGGGAGGGGTACACCCAAGGGGGCGGGGCTCAGACCGCAAAGGGGGCGGGGCGGAGCCCAAAGGGGGAGGGGCAGAGCCCAAAGGGGGCGGGGCGGGAACGGAGCCGGGGAGGGGATTGGGGGAGGGGTCACACAGCTGGTATCTGTTACACACCCGTTACACACCTGTGCACACCCATTACACACCCGTTACACACCTGTATCGCTTACACAGCCCTTACACACCTGTTACACACCCGTTACACACCTGTGCACACCTGTATGGGTTACACACCCGTTACACACCTGTTACACACCCGTTACACACCTGCGCACACCTGTATGGGTTACACACCCGTTACACACCTGTATGGGTTACACACCCATTACATACCTGTTACACACCTGTGCACACCTGTATCGGTTACACACCTGTGCACACCTGTATGGGTTCCACAGCCCTTACACACCTGTGCACACCCGTTACACACCTGTGCACACCTGTATCGCTTACACAGCCCTTACACACCTGTTACACACCCGTTACACACCTGTGCAGACCTGTATCGGTTACACACCCATTACACACCTGTTACACACCCGTTACACACCTGCGCACACCTGTATGGGTTACACAGCCCTTACACACCTGTTACACACCCGTTACACATCTGTGCACACCTGTATCTGTTACACACACGTTACACACCTGTGCACACCTGTATGGGTTCCACAGCCCTTACACACCTGTTACACACCCATTACACACCTGTGCACACCTGTATGGGTTCCACAGCCCTTACACACCTGTTACACACCTGAACACACCTGAACACAACTTTACACACCCGTGCACACTGGTTGCTGATACACAGCCCTTACACACCTGTGCACACCTGTGCACACAGCTGGTACCTTACACAGCCCCTACACCCCTGGACACACCTGTGCACACCTATTACACACCTGTGCACACCCATTGCACACCTGTTACACAGCCATTACACACCTGTGCACACCTATTACACACCTGTAACATACCTGCACACACCCCTGTACACCCGTTACACACCTGTGCACACCTGTTACACACCCGTTACACACCTGTGAACACTCATTACACACCCATTACACACCTGTACAGCCCTGTACACACCTGTCACACACCTTTACACACCTGTTACACACCCGTTACACACCTGTACCACCCCTGCGCACACCCATGACACACCTGTGCGCACCCATTACACACCTGTGCACACCTTTACACACCCATTACACACCTGTGCACACCCATTACACACCTGTCACACACCTGCTGAACCCCCCTGTGCTCACTGGGGTCCCCCAGGGGCGTTCTGGGGTCAATCCCGAAGGTTTTGGGGTCGATCTCAGGGATTTGGGAATTCCAGGAGGGTTTGGGCTCAATCCAAAAGATTTTGGGGCCAATCTCGAGGATTTGGGATTCCAGGAGGGTTTGGGGTGAATTTAAAAGGTTTTTGGGCTGATTTCTGGGATTTGGGAATTCCAGGAGTGTTTGGGGTCAACCCCCAAAGGTTTTGGGGCCAATCTCGGCGATTTTGGGGTCCCAGAAATTTTGGGGTGAATCTCTGAGATTTTGGGGTCCCGGCCGGGGTTTTTGGGGTCGCTCTGAGGAATTTTGGGGTCGACTCGAGGCTATTTGGGATCCTGTATTTCTGTACAGCGGGGGAGGGGCGGGGGGGGTGACCCCACAATTGTCCCGGTCCGGGATCCGCCCGGGGGATCCAGAGGGGTCTGGGATCCATTTGGGATCCAGGATCTGTCCTGTGGGTTCATTTGGGCTCCGGGATCCATCCAGGGGTCCAGGGGTCCCCAGGATCCATCCAGAGGATCCATTTGGGATCTGGGATCCGTCCTGTGGGTCCATTTGGGATCCGGGATCTGTCCGGGGGATCCATTTGGGATCCGGGACCCATTCGGGGGCTCTGGGGTCCATACGAGGGCTCCGGGGGGATCTGGGATCCATTTGGGGGCTCCAGGATCCACCCAGAAGATCCAGAGGGGTCCAGGATCCGTTCAAGGGGTCGAGGGGGATCCAGGATCCATCCCAGAGATCCAGAGAGGCCCAGGATCCATTTGAAGAGTCTGGGATCCATTTGGGGGATCTGGGATCCGTCCAGAAGGTCCAGAGGGGTCCGGGACCCATTTGGGGGGTCCGGGTTCCATTTGAGGGGTCCAAGGGGATCTGGGATCTGTCCAGAGAGGCCCAAGATCCATTTGAAGAGTCTGGGATCCATTTGGGGGATCTGGGATCCGTCCAGAGAGGCCCAGGATCCATTTGGGAGGAGTCCGGAGGGATCTGGGACCCATCCTGCGAGTCCAGAGGGGTCCAGGGTCCATTTGAAGAGTCTGGGATCCATTTGGGGGATCTGGGATCCATCCAGGGACTCCAGAGGGGTCTCGGATCCATCCAGAGAGGCCCAGGATCCATTTGGGGGGATCTGGGATCCATTTGGGGGGGTCTGGGACCCACCAGGGCTGTCCAGGGGAATCCGCTTGCGTCCGTGTTGGTCCCAGAGCATCCAGGAGGGAACCGAGCCTGGGATCCACCACAGCCGGGATCCGACCCTGCCCGGTGTCCTGGGATCTGTCCCTGTCCCAGTGTCTGTCCCTGTCCCAGTGTCTGTCCCTGTCCCATTGTCCAGCCATGCCCTGGGATCCAGCCATGCCCGGTGTCCAGGGATCTGTCCTGGGAGTGTCCCTGTCCCAGTGTCTGTCCCTGTCCCCGTGTCTGTCCCTGTGTCCCAGTGTCTGTCCCCGTCCCCGTGTCTGTCCCCGTCCCCGTGTCTGTCCCTGTCCCAGTGTCTGTCCCTGTGTCCCAGTGTCTGTCCCTGAGTCCCAGTGTCTGTCCCCGTCCCTGTGTCCCAGTGTCTGTCCCTGTCCCAGTGTCTGTCCCTGTCCCAGGATCTGTCCCTGTCCCAGTGTCTGTCCCTGTGTCCCAGTGTCTGTCCCTGTCCCAGTGTCCGGCCGTGTCCTGGGATCCGGTTGTGTCCAGTGTCCAGCCATGTCCCAGCACTGTCCCTGTCATGTCCTGGGATCTGGCCGTGTCCAGTGTCCCTGTCCCTGTCCCAGCAGTGTCCCTGTCCCTGTCCTGTCCCTGTCCAGCTGTGTCCCTGTCCCTGTTGTGTCCCTGTCCCTGTTGTGTCCCTGTCCCTGTCCAGCAGTGTCCCTGTCCCTGTCCCTGTCCCTGTCCCAGCTGTGCTGTGTCCAGCAGTGACCCAGTTGTGTCCTGCACTCTGGCCACGTCCAGTGTCCAGCACTGTCCCTGTCCCAGCACTGTCCCTGTCCCAGGGCCTGGCTGTGTCCCTGTCCCTGTCCCAGGTGTGTCCCTGTCCCCATCCCTGTCCCAGGGCCTCACTGTGTCCCCGTCCCTGTCCCAGGTGTGTCCCTGTCCCAGTTTTGTCCCCATCCTGGGATCTGTCCCTGTCCCCATCCCTGTCCCAGGTGTGTCCCTGTCCCAGGTGTGTCCCTGTCCCTGTCCCCATTCCTGTCCCAGGTGTGTCCCTGTCCCAGATCCAGCTGTGCCCTGGGATTGTCCCTGTGCCAGATGTGTCCCCATCCTTGTCCCCATCCCAGGATCCACCCCTGTCCCTGTCCCCATCCCTGTCCCCTCTGTCCCTGTCCCAGGTGTGTCCCCATCCTTGTCCCTGTCCCTGTCCCCCTGTCCCCACCCCTGTCCCTGTCCATGTGCGGGATCAGCCAGGCCAGGGCTGTCCCTCAGTGTCCCCTGGCTGTCCCTCAGGTGTCACAGATGTCCCTTGGTGTCCCCTGGGTGTCCCACATGTCCTCCCTCTGTGTCCCCTGGGTGTCCCCTGGTGTCCCTCAGGTGTCCTTTGGTGTCCCTCCGTGTCCCCTGGATGTCCCCCAGTGTCCCCTGCTTGTCACAGGTGTCCCCTCAGTGTCCTTGGTGTCCCCAAAGTGCCACAGGGACCTGGGATGTCCCCCAGGTGCCAAAGGACCCACAGGTGTCCCCACTGCCCCCACTGTCCCTGTGGGTCCCTGGGTGCCACCTCAGGCTGTCCCCAGTGTCCCCTCAGGTCACAGTGCCATGGGCTGGTGTCACTGCTGTCCCCAATGTCCTCTGTCAGTCACGGTGCCATTGGTGCCACCTTGGGCTGTCACTGCTGTCCCCAATGTCCCCAGTGTCCCCTCAGGTCATGGTGCTGCTGGTGCCACCTCAGGCTCAGTTACACTGCTGTCCCCAATGTCCCCAATGCTCTGTTGGTCACGGTGCCATCAGTGCCCCCTCAGGCTTGGTGTCACTGCTGTCCCCAATGTCCCCTGTGTGTCACGGTGCCATTGGTGCCACCTCAGGCTCAGTTTCACTGCTGTCCTCAATGTCCCCTGGGTGTCACGGTGCTGCTGGTGCCACCTCAGGCTTGGTGTCACTGCTGTCCCTGGTGTCCCCAATGTCCCTTGAGGTCAGGGTGCTGTTGGTGCCACCTCAGGCTCTCTGTCCCCGGTGTCCCCTGGGTGTCACGGTGCTGTGGGTGCCACCTCGGGCTTGCTGTCCCCGGTGTCCCCGGTGTCCCCAATGTCCCCGGTGTCCCCTGGGTGTCACGGAGCTGTCGGTGCCACCTCGGGCTCGCTGTCCCCGGTGTCCCCAGTGTCCCCTGGGTGTCACGGAGCCGTCGGTGGCACCTCGGGCTCGCTGTCACTGCTGTCCCCGGTGTCCCCAGTGTTCCCTGGGTGTCACGGTGCTGTGGGTGCCACCTCGGGCTCGCTGTCGCTGCTGTCCCCGGTGTCCCCTGGGTGTCACGGTGCTGTGGGTGCCACCTCAGGCTCGCTGTCGCTGCTGTCCCCAATGTCCCCAATGTCCCCTGGGTGTCACGGTGCTGTGGGTGCCACCTCAGGCTTGCTGTCGCTGCTGTCCCCAGTGTCCCCGGTGTCCCCTGGGTGTCACGGTGCTGTGGGTGCCACCTCAGGCTCGCTGTCGCTGCTGTCCCCAGTGTCCCCGGTGTCCCCTGGGTGTCACGGTGCCGTTGGTGCCACCTCGGGCTCGCTGTCCCCGGTGTCCCCAATGTCCCCTGGGTGTCACGGTGCTGTGGATGCCACCTCGGGCTCGCTGTCGCTGCTGTCCCCAATGTCCCCAATGTCCCCAGGGTGTCATGGTGCTGTGGGTGCCACCTCGGGCTCGCTGTCGCTGCTGTCCCCGGTGTCCCCGGTGTCCCCGATGTCCCCCGGGGTCAGCGCGAAGGGCGGCGGGGGCAGCTCCTCGTCCGAGGAGCCCAGCGAGTCCTCGTCCCCCAGGCGCGTCCCCAGGGCCACCGCGCCAAAGGACAGCGGCCCCCGCAGCAGCCGGATCTGGGACAGGGGACAGAGGGGACAGTGGGGACAGGGACAGGGGACAGAGAGGGGACAGCAGGGAACATGAGACAGGAACAGAGAGGGGACAGAGGGGGGACAGTGAGGGACAGGCAGGGGACAGCAGGACAGGGAACAGCAGGGACAGGCAGGGGACAGGGGACAGTGAGGACAGAGACAGGGGACAGAGAGGGGGAAGCAGGGACAGAGGGGACAGAGAAGGGACAGAGAGGGGAGGGGACAGGGGACAAGAAAGGGACAGGGACAGGAATGGAGATGGGGACAGGAGGGGACAGGGACAGGGGAGGTGATGGGGACAAGGACAGGGACAGGAACAGGGAGGGGACAGCGAGGGGACAAGGACAGGAATGGAGATGGGGACAGGGACAAGGGACAGGAGGGGACAAAGGCCAACAGGGAAGGGCAGGAGGGAGGACACAGGGGGAACGCGCTGTCACCAGCTGTCCCCAGGCCATGTGGCACTGAGGGGACATCGCCGGTGGCACCTGGGGATGTCACCAGTGGCACTGGGGCCAGACTGGGGGTCCCCCAGGACCTGTGGGTGCCACGTGGGTGTCCCCAAGCCCTGTCACCTCCCCCAGCCCCCCCTGGATGCCACCTGGGTGTCTCCCTACGTCCCTGGCCCCCAGTGTCCCCAGTGATGTCCCCAGTGATGTCCCCAATGATGTCCCCAGTGATGTCCCCACCTCGGCCGTGAGCTGCCGGATGTGGCCCTGCAGGTGCCGGATGTACTGCGCCCCATGTCCCCAGTGTCCCCAGTGATGTCCCCAGTGTCCCCAATGTCTCACCTCGGCCTTGAGCTGCCGGATGTGGCCCTGCAGGTGCCGGATGTACTGCGCCCCCCCGTGTCCCCAGTGTCCCCAGTGTCCCCAGTGTCCCCAATGTCCCCAGCAGTGTCCCCACCTCGGCCTTGAGCTGCCGGATGTGGCCCTGCAGGTGCCGGATGTACTGCGCCGCGTCCGAGTGCTCCAGCTGGCCCTGCAGCCGCCCCTCCTCCCGCTGGGGACACCGAGGGGGACACTGAGGGGACACTGAGGGGACACCTGGCCCCTCCTGTGCCCCCCATGTCCCCTGTGTCCACTCCATGTCCCCATGACCTTCATGTCCACCACATCTCCGTGTCCCCCTTGTCCCCTCCATGTCCCCCCTTGTCCCCTCCGTGTCCCCCCATGTCCCCACATCCCTGTGTCCCCCATCCCCTCCATGTCCCCAATGTCCCCCCGATGTCCCCAATGTCCCTCATCCCTTCCATCCCCACCATGTCCCCAATGTCCCCAGTGTCCCCAGGGTCCTCCATCCCCTCCATGTCCCCCCCATTTCCCCTCCATGTCCCCATGTCCCTGTGTCCCCCATCCCTTCCATGTCCCCCATCCCCCCCATGTCCTACTCATGTCCCTCTGTCCCCTCCATGTCCCCTCATGTCCCCACCATCCCCCCCATGTCCCCCTGACATCCCCAATGTCGCTCTCACCCCCCCCATGTCCCCATGTCCCTGATGTCCCCAGTGTCCCCTTGTCCCCTCTGTGTCCCCCCATGTCCCCACGTCCCTGTGTCCCCCATCTCCCCCTCCACGTCCCACTCATGTCCCCGTGTCCCTGATGTCCCCAGTGTCTCCAAGGTCCCCCATCCCCTCCATGTCCCCATGTCCCCCCTATGTCCCCTCCATGTCCCCATGTCCCCCATAATCCCTTCCCTGTCCCCAATGTCCCCCATGTCCCTGATATCCCCATGTCCTCCCTCCACTCCATGTCCTCGATGTCCCCAATGTCCCCCAATGTCCTCGATGTCCCCGATGTCCCCATGTCCCCCTGATGTCCCCAATGTCCCCCTGATGTCCCCAATGTCCCCAGTATCCCCATCCCCTCCATGTCCCCAATGTCCCCATGTCCTGATGTTTCCATTTCCCCACATCCCCCAGTGTCCCCATTGTCCCTGATGTCCCCATTGTCCCTGATGTCCCCATTGTCCCTGATGTCCCCATGACCCTCATGTCCCCCATCCGCTCCAAGTCCCCATGTCCTTGATGTCCCAAATGTCCCCATGACCCCCAATGTCCCCAATGTCCCCATTGTACCTGCCATGTCCCCGATGTCCCCAATATCCCTGATGTCCCCATGTCTCCCTGATGTCCCCATGTCCCCCCAGCATCTCTGATGTCCCCATATCCCCCACATCCCCCAATGTCTCCGATATCCCCAATGTCCCCATGTCCCCCTGATGTCCCCAATGTCCCCATTGTCCCTGCCACGTCCCCGAAGTCCCTGATGTCCCCATGTCCCCCCAGCGTCTCTGATGTCCCCATATCCCCCACATCCCCCAATGTCTCCGATGTCCCCATATCCCCCACATCCCCCAATGTCCCCAACACCCCCAATGTCCCCATTGTCCCCATTGTCCCCAGTGTCCCCGTACCTGGATCTCCAGCTCGGCCACACGCTGCCTCATCTCGGCCAGGGCGGCCATGCTGTCGGCCTCGCGCAGCCGCACGGCCATCACCTCCTCCTTGCTCTGGGGACAGCGCTGTCACCGCGGGGGCGCCCGGGGACACCGCGGGGACACCATGGGGACGGCACTGGGACACCCACAGGGACACCCGGGGACAGCACTGGGACACCCACAGGGACACCCACAGGGACACCCACAGGGACACCTGGGGACAGCCCTGGGACAACCCGGGGACATCATGGGGACACCGCGGGGACACCATGGGGACAGCACTGGGACACCCGGGGACAGCACTGGGGCACCCGGGGACACCATGGGGACACCGCGGGGACACCATGGGGACAGCACTGGGACACCCAGGGACACCCACAGGGACACCCACAGGGACACCCACAGGGACACCGCAGGGACAGCCCTGGGACAACCCGGGGACAGCCCCAGGACAGCCCTGCCACTGGGGACAGCATGGGGACACCCAGGGACACCCACAGGGACAGCCCCAGGGACAGCCCCAGGGACACCCAGGGACAGCCCTGCCACTCCCAGGGACACTGCAGGGACACTGTGGGGACAGCCCTGGGACACCACAGGGACACCCAGGGACACTGTGAGGACACCCCCTGGGACAGCCCTGCCACTGGGGACAGGGTGGGGACACCCCAGGGACACCATGGGGACACCCAGGGACAGCCCTGCCACCCCCAGGGACACTGCAGGGACAGCCAGGGACAGCCCTGTCACCATGGGGACACCCAGGGACATGCAGGGACATCCCTCCAGGCCAGTCCTGTCACTGGGGACACTGTGGGGACACCTTGGACACCCCCAGGGACAGCCCTGTCACTGTGGGGACACCCAGGGAACACCCGGGGGACACTTCAGGGGCCCTGGGGACATCCCCGGGTGTGTCCCAAAGGTCCCCAAGAGTGCCCAATGTCCCCAATATCCCCGATGTCCCCAATGTTCCCAACATCCCTGTTGTCCCCAGAGCCGTCCCCAGTGTCCCCAACAGCCCCAATGATGCTCCCAATGTCCCCAATCCCACAGTGTCCCCAGGGTGTCCCCAATCGCCCCAGTGCCCCCAACATCTCCAAGTGTCCTCAATGTCCCAAATCCCTCAATGTCCTCAGTGATGTCCCCAACTCCCCCAATGTCCCAAATCCCTCAATATGCTCAATGTCCTCAATGTCCTCAGTGATGTCCCCAGTGATGTCCCCAAGTCCCCCGATGTCCCAAATGTCCCCAATACCACCAATGTCCCCAGTGTCCCTGCTGTCTGCGATGATGTCCCCAATCACCCCGATGTCCCCAACATCTCCAGCATCCCTTATGATGTCCCAAATGCCCCCAATGTCCCAATGTCCCCAACACCCCCAGGTGTCCCCACTGTCCCCAACATCCCAATACCCTCAGTGTCCCCAGTACTGTCCCTGATGATGTCCCTGATGATGTCCCCAATGTCCTCAATCCCCCCAATGCACCCCCCAATGTCCCCATTGCCCTCACTGTCCCCACTGCTGTCCCCAATGTCCCCAAACGTCCCCAATGTCCCCAGATGTCTCCAATGCTCCCGGCATCCCTGGTGTCCCTGATGTCCCAATACCCTCAATGTTCCCAATGTCTCAATATGCTCAATGTCCCCAATGTCCCAAGTGTCCCCAATGTCCCCAATCCTCCCAATACACTCCTGCCCCCAGTGTCCCCATTGCTGTCCCCAGTGTCCCCATTGCTGTCCCCGTTGCTGTCCCCACCTTGCACTGAGCCTCCGCGTGTTTCCGGTGGCTCTCGCTGAGCTGGGCCTGCAGCCCCTGGCTCTGGGCGGCCGCGGCGCGGAGCTGCTCCCTTAGGCCAGCGCAGGCCTGCTCGGCCCGGCCCAGCACCGACCGCTGGATGCGCCCCTAAACCGGGATTAAACCGGGATTAAACCTGGGATTAACCCGGGATTAAACAGGGATAGACCCAGCACCAACCCAGCCCTGCTCCCTTAGGCCAGCGCAGGCCTGCTCGGCCCGGCCCAGCACCGACCGCTGGATGCGCCCCTAAACCAGGGTTAAACTGGGATTAACCTGGGATTAACCCGGGATAAACCCGGGATAGACCCGGCACCAACCCAGCCCTGCTGCTCCCTTAGGCCAGCGCAGGCCTGCTCGGCCCGGCCCAGCACCAACCGCTGGATGCGCCCCTAAACCGGGGTTAAACCGGGATTAAACCTGGGATTAACCTGGGATAGACCCAGCACCAACCCAGCCCTGCTCCCTTAGGCCAGCGCAGGCCTGCTCGGCCCGGCCCAGCACCGAGCGCTGGATCCGCCCCTAAACCGGGGTTAAACCTGGGATTAAACTGGGATTAACCCGGGATAGACCTGGCACCAACCCAGCCCTGCTCCCTTAGGCCAGCGCAGGCCTGCTCAGCCCGGCCCAGCACCGACCGCTGGATGCGCCCCTAAACCGGGGTTAAACCGGGATTAAACCTGGGATTAACCTGGGATAGACCCAGCACCAACCCAGCCCTGCTCGGCCCGGCCCAGCACCGAGCGCTGGATGCGCCCCCTAAACCGGGGTTAAACCGGGATTAACCTGGGATAGACCCGGCACCAACCCAGCCCTGCTGCTCCCTTAGGCCAGCGCAGGCCTGCTCGGCCTGGCCCAGCACCGAGCGCTGGATCCGCCCCTAAACCGGGATAAAACCGGGATTAACCTGGGATTAACCTGGGATAGACCCAGCACCAACCCAGCCCTGCTCGGCCCGGCCCAGCACCGAGCGCTGGATGCGCCCCTAAACCGGGGTTAAACCGGGATTAACCCAGGATTAACCTGGGATAAACTCGGGATTAAACCCAGGATTAACCTGGGATAAACCCCAGGATTAACCCATCAAAATCCTGGGATAAACACAAAGTTAATTTGGGATAAACCTGGGATAAACCCTGGTCCCTGCTCTCCCAGTGCTCCCAGTTCACTTCCCAGTATCCCCAGTTCCTCCCAGTTTGGTACCTGTGTCTCCAGGTGCAGCACCCAGTGCTCCCAGTCCATCCCAGTCCCTCCCAGTATCTCACCTGTGTCTCCAGGTGCAGCACTCACTGTCCCAGTGCTCTCAGCTCCATTCCCAGTCCCTCCCAGTGCTCCCAGTTTGGCACCAGTATCTCTCACCTGTGTCTCCAGGTGCAGCACCCTCTGTCCCAGCGCCCTCAGCCCCATTCCCAGTTTGTCCCAGTCCCTCCCAGTTTGGTACCTGTGTCTCACCTGTGTCTCCAGGTGCAGCACCCTCTGTCTCAGTGCCCTCAGCCCCATTCCCAGTTTGTCCCAGTCCCTCCCAGTCCATCCCAGTCCCTCACCTGTGTCTCCAGGTGCAGCACTCTCTGTCTCAGCGCCCTCAGCTCCGCCTGGGCCTGGCTCTCGCGGAGCTGCACCCCCAGCACGGCCTCGTGCAGCGCCCGCGGCTCCTTCCAGCGGCCCCCGCACACCTGGGGACACACCCGGTCAGGGGACACACCTGGGACACACCTGGGACACACCTGGGGACACACCTGGGACACACCTGGGGACACACTCGGTCAGGGGACACACCTGGGGACACACCTGGGACACACCTGGGGACACCTGGGACACCTGGGGACACACCCGGTCAGGGGACACACCTGGGGACACACCTGGGACACACCTGGGGACACACCCGGTCAGGGGACACACCTGGGGACACACCTGGGACACACCTGGGGACACACCCGGTCAGGGGACACACCTGGGGACACACCTGGGACACACCTGGGGACACACCCTGGGGACACACCCGGTCAGGGGACACACCTGGGGACACACCTGGGACACACCTGGGGACACACCCGGTCAGGGGACACACCTGGGGACACCTGGGGACACACCTGGGGACACCTGGGACACCTGGGGACACACCTGGGGACACACCCGGTCAGGTGACACACCTGGGGACACCTGGGACACACCTGGGGACACACCCGGTCAGGGGACACACCCGGGGACACCTGGGGACACCTGGGGACACACCTGGGGACACACCTAGGGACACACCTGGTCAGGTGTGGGGACACCTGGGACATCTGGGGACACCCGGGGACACACCCTGGGAACACCTGGTCAGGTATGGGGACACCTGGGGGACACCTGGTCACACCTGGTCGGGTATGGGGACACCTGGGGGACACCTGGTCGGGTATGGGGACACCTGGGGACACACCTGGTCACACCTGGTCAGGTATGGGGACACCTGGGACACCTGGGGACACCCCTGGTCAGGTGACACACACCTGGGGACACCTGGGGGACACTTGGGACACACCTGGTCAGGTGACACACCTGGGGACATCTGGGGGACACTTGGGACACACCTGGTCGGGTATGGGGACTCACCTGGGGACAGCTGGGACACCTGCCAGGCATCCCCCAGGTGTCCCCAATGTCCCTGTGTCACCTGCCAGCTGTCCCAGGTGTCCCCAGGGTCACTCAGGTGTCCCCAGGGTCACTCAGGTGTCCCCAGTGCCCCTGTCTCACCTGCCAGGTGTTTCCAGGGTCACTCAGGTGTCCCCAGGGTCACTCAGGTGTCCCCAGTGTCCCTGTCTCACCTGCCAGGTGTCCCCGATGTCCCCAGGGTCACTCAGGTGTCCCCAGGGTCACTCAGGTGTCCCCAGTGTCCGTGTCTCACCTGCCAGGTGTCCCCGATGTCCCCGATGTCCCCGATGTCCCTCAGTGCCAGCTCCTGCAGCTCCTCCTGCAGCCGAACCACGCTGGAGTCATCCGGGAGCAGCGGCTGCCGCTGGGGACAGACGGACAGACGGACATCAGGGACAGACGGACAGCAGGGACAGGGGGACAGCAGGGACAGGGACAGAGGGACAGCAGGGACAGGGGGACAGCAGGGACAGACGGACATCAGGGACAGGGACACAGGGGACAAGGGACATCAGGGGGGACAGACAGAGGGACCTTCACAGGCCACCTGCGACAGCTCCTGTCCCCAGGGCCACCCATGGGACCCTCCCTGTCCCCTCCCTGTCCCCTCCCTGTCCCCACGGCCCCTCCCTGTCCCCAAGGCCACCCATGGGACCCTGTCTGTCCCCTCCCTGTCCCCAGAGCCACACATGGGACCCTCCCCATCCCATTGGGACCCTGCCACCCCTAATGTCACCCCAGTGTCCCCTTGGTGTCACCTTCTCCATGTCCAGGACCTTGTCCTGCATCTCCTTGAGGGCTCCCAGGGTTTCGCTCTCGCGCAGCCGCGACCGCTCCAGCTCCGTCTCCAGGTGCGCCACGAACTCCTCGCTCAGGCGGGGGTTACCCTGTCCCCAGTGTCACCAATGTCACCAAAGGCCACCAATGTCACCAAAGGTCACCTCCCAACTGCCACCAACTCCTCGCTCAGGTGGGGGTTACCCTGTCCCCAGTGTCCCCAATGTCACCAATGTCACCAAGTGTCACCAATGTCACCTCCCCATTGTTCCTGCCCACCATGAACTCCTTGCTCAGGCAGGGGTTACCCTGTCCCCAGTGTCACCAATGTCACCAATGTCACCAATGTCACCTCCCACCTGCCATGAAATCCTTGTTCATGCAGGAGTTACCTGTGCCACCAAATGTCACCAAATGTCACCTGCAGCATTGTCACCCGGGGACAGTGACACGCGGGTGACACAGTGACACAGTGACACACACCGTGACACAGGTGACAATGACACACTCAGGTGACACACTCAGGTGACACACACAGGTGACACACAGGTGACAGTGACACACACAGGTGACAGTGACACACACTCAGGTGACACAGTGACACACGGGTGACACAGGAGGCGACACACGGGTGACACAGAGGTTACACACAGGTGACAGTGACACACAGGTGACAGTGACACACTCAGGTGACACAGAGGTGACAATGACACACAGGTGACACACAGGTGACAGTGACACACTCAGGTGACACAGGTGATACAGTGACACACACAGGTCACACACAGGTGACAATCAGGTGACACTCAGGTGACAGTGACACACACAGTGACACACACACAGTGACACACACACAGTGACACACACACAGTGACACACAGAGGTGACACACAGGTGACAATGACACACAGTGACACACCTGCAGCTCCCTGATGGTGCTCTGTGCCCGCCTCAGGCTCTCTGTGGCTGAGCTGCAGCGCTGGGGCAATGACACACAGTGACACACACAGTGACACACACAGTGACACACACAATGACACACACAGGTGACACTCAGGTGACAATGACACACAATGACACACCTGCAGCTCCCTGATGGTGCTCTGTGCCCGCCTCAGGCTCTCTGTGGCTGAGCTGCAGCGTTGGGGCAGTGATGCAATGGCACAGGTGATACAATGACACACACAGTGACACACACAGTGACACACAGTGACACACACAGTGACACACACACAGTGACACACACACAGTGACACACACACACAGGTGACACAGGTGACACACAGGTGACACACACACAGTGACACACACAGAGGTGACAATGACACACACAGGTGACAATGACACACACAGTGACACACACAGGTGACACAGGTGACACTCAGGTGACAGTGACACACACAGTGACACACACAGTGACACACAGGTGACAATGACACACACAGTGACACACACAGGTGACACAGGTGACACTCAGGTGACAATGACACACACAGGTGACAATGACACACCTGCAGCTCCCTGATGGTGCTCTGTGCCCGCCTCAGGCTCTCTGTGGCTGAGCTGCAGCGTTGGGGCAGTGATGCAATGGCACACAGTGACACACACACAGTGACACACACACAGGTGATACAATGACACACACAGTGACACACACAGGTGACACAGGTGACAATGACACACAGTGACACACCTGCAGCTCCCTGATGGTGCTCTGTGCCCGCCTCAGGCTCTCTGTGGCTGAGCTGCAGCGTTGGGGCAGTGACACACAGTGACAGTGACACACACAGTGACACACACAGGTGACAGTGACACACACAGGTGACACAGGTGACACAGTGACACACAGAGGTGACAATGACACACCTGCAGCTCCCTGATGGTGCTCTGTGCCCGCCTCAGGCTCTCTGTGGCTGAGCTGCAGCGTTGGGGCAGTGATGCAGTGACACACAGTGACACACAGTGACACACACACAGGTGACACACAGGTGACACACACAGTGACACACAGGTGACAATGACACACACACAGGTGACAATGACACACACAGGTGACAGTGACACACCTGCAGCTCCCTGATGGTGCTCTGTGCCCGCCTCAGGCTCTCTGTGGCTGAGCTGCAGCGTTGCCGCACCAGCGCCAGCTCCCGCCGGATGACGTCGTTCTCCTCGGCCTCCTGTGCCCGCGTCACCTGGCCCTGGGGACAATGGGGACAGTGGGGACACCTTGGGGACACCTTGGGGACACTGTCACCTCCTGCGCCCGCATCACCTGGCCCTGGGACAGAGGGGACAATGGGGACATTGGGGACAATGGGGACAGTGTCACCTGGCCCTGGGGACAATGGGGACAGTGGGGACAGTGACACCTGGCCCTGGGACAGAGGGGACAATGGGGACAGTGTCACCTGGCCCTGGGACAGAGGGGACATCAGGGACACCTTGGGGACACTGGGGACAATGGGGACAGTGTCACCTGGCCCTGGGGACAATGGGGACAGCAGGGACACCTTGGGGACATTGGGGACATTGGGGACAGTGTCACCTCCTGCGCCCGCGTCACCTGGCCCTGGGACATTGGGGACAATGGGGACACCTTGGGGACATTGGGGACAATGGGGACAGTGTCACCTGGCCCTGGGGACAGCGGGGACAATGGGGACAGTGACATCTGGCCCTGGGACAATGGGGACAGCAGGGACAGTGTCACCTGGCCCTGGGGACAGAGGGGACATCAGGGACACCTTGGGGACATTGGGGACAATGGGGACATTGGGGACACCTTGGGGACAATGGGGACATTGGGGACACCTTGGGGACACTGTCACCTCCTGCGCCCGTGTCACCTGGCCCTGGGGACAGAGGGGACAATGGGGACAATGGGGACAGAGGGGACACTGGGGACATTGGGGACAGTGGGGACACTGGGGACACTGGGGACATTGGGGACAGTGGGGACACCTTGGGGACAGTGTCACCTCCTGCGCCCGCATCACCTGGCCCAGGGACATTGGGGACATTGGGGACATTGGGGACATTGTCACCTGGCCCTGGGGACAATGGGGACAGTGGGGACACCTTGGGGACATTGGGGACAATGGGGACAGTGTCACGTCCTGTGCCTGTGCCACCTGGCCCTGGGGACACTGGGGACACTGGGGACACCTTGGGGACACTGGGGACGCTGTCACCTGCTGCCACCAGGGCTGTGGTGGCACTGGGGGCACAGTGAGTGACACTGGGGACAGGGAGGTGACACTGGAGGTGCCACCAGCCCCGTTTGTCCCCTCCCCACCCCAAAATTCCCAAATTCCCCCCCAAAATTCCTCAAAATTCACCAGAATTCCCCCAAAATTCCCCCCCCCAAATTCCCTGAATTGCCTCAAAATTTCCCCAAAATTCAAAATTCCCCCCCAATCCCTCAATCCCCCAAAACTTCCCCTGAATTCATCAGAATTCCCCCAAAATTCCCCCAAAATTTCCTAAAATTCCAAAAAAATCCCCCAAAATTCCCCCCAAATCCTCCAAATCCCCCAAAATTCCATCAAAATTGCCCCAAATTCCCCCAAAATTCAAAATTCCCCCCAAATTCACCAGAATTCCCCCCAAATTCCTCAAATTTTTCCCAAAATTCCCCAGAATTTCCCCTAAAATTTCATCAAAATCCCCAATATTCCCCCAAATCCCCCAACATTCAAAATTCCCCCCAAATTCCCTCAAAATTCACCAAAATTCCCCGAATTTCCCCAAAATTCACCAAAATCTCCCCGAATTTCTCCAAAATTCACCAAAATCTCCCCGAATTTCCCCCAAATTCCCCCCAGGGTCCGCGGGAGCCTCAGAGAAGCAGAAAAAAAAAGGTGGAAAAAAAAGGCAGAAAAAAGGAAAATCCCCCCAAAAGTGGGGCTGGGGAGGGGAGGGAGGAAAATGGGGAAAAAATGGGAAAAATTGGGAAAAAATTGGGGAAATAAATCAGGAAAATCAGAGAGGAAAATTAGGAAAAGAAATCGGGAAAATCTGGAAAACAAATCAGTAAAATGGGGAAGAAAATCGGGAAAATATCAGGAAAATCAATTGGGAAAATTGGGGGGGAAATCAGGGAAATAAATTGGGAAAATCAGAGGGAAAATTGGGGGAAAATAACAGAAAAAATTCGGGGAAAAAATCTGGGAAATCGGGGAAAAATAGGGAAAATTAGGGGGAAAAATAGGGAAAATAAATCGGGAAAATTGGGAAAATCAATCGGGAAAATTGGGAAAAAATTGGGAAAATCAATTGGGAAAATCAGGAAAACATCAGGAAAATCAATCGGGAAAATTGGGAAAAAATTGGGAAAATCAATTGGGAAAATCAGGGAAATAAATCAGGAAAATCAGGGGGAAAATTGGGGAAAAATAACAGAAAAAATTGGGGAAAAAATCTGGGAAATTGGGGAAAAAATAGGGGGGAAAATTGGGGGGAAAATAGGGAAAATAAATTGGGAAAATAAATCGGGAAAATTGGGAAAAATTGGGAAAATCAATTGGGAAAATCAGGGAAGAAAATTGGGAAAACTGGGGGGAAAATCAGGAAAATAAATCGGGAAAATCAGGGGGAAAATTGGGGAAAAATAACAGAAAAAAAATCGGGGGAAAAATAGGGGGAAAATAGGGAAAATAAATCGGGGAAATTGGGAAAAAATTGGGAAAATCTATTGGGGAAATCAGGGAAATTGGAGAAATAAATCAGGAAAATCAGAGAGGAAAAATTAGGAAAAAAAATCAGGAAAATCTGGAAAACAAATCAGTAAAATGGGGAAGAAAATCAGGAAAATCAAATGGGAAAATCAGGAAAGAAAATTGGGAAAATTGGGGGGAAAATCAGGGAAACAAATTGGGAAAATCAGGGGGAAAATTGGGGGAAAATAATGGAAAAAAATCGGGGAAAAAATCTGGGAAATCAGGGGAAAAATAGGGGGAAAATTGGGGGGGAAAATAGGGAAAATAAATTGGGAAAATCAATCAGGAAAATTGGGGAAAAAATCAGGAAAATTGGGGAAAAAATCAGGAAAATTGGGGAAAATTGGGGAAATATTGGGAAAATATCAGGAAAATATTGGGAAAATATCAGGATTATCGAGAAAATATTGGGAAAATCTTGGGAAAATCAGGACAATATTGGGAATACTGGGAAAATATTGGGGGAATATCAGGGATATGATCAGGAAAATATTGGGGAGAATGGGGAAAATATTGGGATTATCAGGAAATCTCAGGAAAATTGGGATTATATTGGGATTATATTGGGATTATATCAGGAAAGTGTTGGGAGAATTGGGAAAAATCCTGAAAATATCGGGAAAATATTGGGATTACAGGGAAAATTGGAAAATATTTGGATTATATTGGGATTATATTGGGAAAATATCAGAAAATATTCAGAATATTGGGAATATATGGGGAAAATATTGGGGAAAATATCAGGAAAATATTGGGAAAGTATTAGGATTATTGGGAAAATATTTAGATTATTGGGAAAGTATTGGGAAAGCATTGGGAGAACCTTGGGAATATCAGGAAAATTGGGAAAATATCAGGGAAATATCAGGAAAATAAATTGGGAAAATTGAGGGAATTGGGAAAATTGAGGGAATAAACTGGAGGGGGGGAAAATTGGGGGAAAAATTGGAAAATAAACTGGAAAAAATGGGAAATAAACTGGAAAAAAAGGGGAAATAAACTGGAAAAAAAGGGGAAATAAACTGGAAACAAGGGGAAATATTGGGAAAATGGGGAAATCAATTGGGAAAATAGCAGAAAAATGGGGAATTCAATAGGGAAATGGGGGAGTTTGGGGTCTATGGGGACGTTTGGGGTCTATGGGGGCAATGGGGGAGTTTGGGGTCTATGGGGGCAATGGGGGAGTTTGGGGTCTATGGGGTCTATGGGGGAGTTTGGGGTCTATGGGGGCAATGGGGGAGTTTGGGGTTTATGGGGGCAATGGGGGAGTTTGGGGTCTATGGGGTCTATGGGGACGTTTGGGGTCTCTGGGGTCTATGGGGACATTTGGGGTCTATGGGGCAATGAGGGTTTAAGGTCTATGGGGCAATGGGGGTTTGGGGTTTATGGGGTCTATGGGGCCATTTGGGGTCTCTGGGGTCTCTGGGGTCTCTCTGGATCCCCGCGGGGCCCGGCCGTACCTGGATGAGGCGATCGGCCAGGGCTGCGCTCTCCTGGGGAGGGGACAGAGACAGGGACACGTCAGGGACAGGGACAGGGACAGGGACAGGGACAGGGACACGTCAGGGACAGTGACACGTCAGGGACAGGGACAGGGACAGGTCAGGGACAGTGACACGTCAGGGACAGGGACAGGGACAGGGACAGTGAGGACAGAGACAGGGACAGGGACAGGGACAGGGACAGGGACAGGGACAGTGACAATGACAGAGCCCGATCGGTGACAGTGACAGTGACAAGGACAGTGACAGATCCAGGTGGCAGCAGTGACAGCAGTGGCAGTGGCAGTGCCAGTGACAGCAGTGACAGCAGTGACAGTGACAGTGACAGATCCAGGTGGCAGCAGTGACAGCAGTGCCAGTGACAGTGGCAGTGCCAGTGACAGCAGTGACAGCAGTGACAGCAGTGGCAGTGAAAAGGACAGTGCCAGTGACAGTGGCAGCAGTGACAGTGACAGATCCAGGTGACAGCAGTGACAGCAGTGGCAGTGAAAAGGACAGTGCCAGTGACAGTGGCAGCAGTGACAGTGACAGATCCAGGTGACAGCAGTGACAGCAGTGGCCGTGCCAGTGGCAGTGCCAGTGACAAGGACAGTGCCAGTGCCAATGCCAGCTGTGGCAGCAGTGACAATGCCAGCAGTGCCAGTGCCAGTGCCAGTGCCAGTGCCAATGACAGCAGTGACAGTGCCAGTGACAGCAGTGACAGTGACGGGACAGGGACAGGGACAGTGACAATGACAGCAGGGACAGTGACAATGACAGCAGTGACAGTGCCAGTGACAGCAGTGACAGTGACGGGACAGTGACAGTGACAATGACAGCAGTGACAGTGACGGGACAGGGACAGTGACAATGACAGCAGTGACAGTGACAGCAGTGACAATGACAGTGCCAGCAGTGCCAGTGACAATGCCAGTGACAGTGACAATGACAATGCCAGCAGTGCCAGTGACAATGACAGTGACAATGACAGTGCCAGCAGTGACAGTGACAGTGCCAGTGACAATGCCAGCAGTGGCAGTGACAGTGACAGTGCCAGTGACAATGACAATGCCAGCAGTGCCAGCAGTGACAGTGACAGTGACAATGCCAGCAGTGACAGTGCCAGCAGTGCCAGTGACAGTGCCAGTGACAATGACAATGCCAGCAGTGCCAGCAGTGACAATGACAATGCCAGCAGTGGCAGCAGTGGCAGTGACAGATCCAGGTGACAATGACAGTGACAATGACAATGCCAGCAGTGCCAGCAGTGCCAGTGCCAGTGCCAGTGCCAGTGCCAGTGCCAGTGCCAGTGCCAGTGCCAATGACAATGCCAGCAGTGCCAGCAGTGGCAGCAGTGGCAGCAGTGGCAGCAGTGGCAGTGACAGATCCAGGTGACAGTGACAGTGACAATGACAGTGACAATGCCAGCAGTGCCAGCGCCATCCCGAGCCCGCCCCATGCTCTGGGATTCCCCAATTCCCGCGGATTTGGGACCGTTTGGGTGGGGCTGAGGCCCCGTGGGTGGGGCCAAACAGGGGCGGGGCCAAATGGGGGCGTGGTCAAATGGGGCGTGGCCAAAAGGGGGTGGGGCCGAATGGGCGGGACCACCTCAAAATGGCCGCGGGGCTGGGGCCGTGAACGATTTTAGGGTTTTCTATGGGGTTTTCTATGGGGTTTTGGGGTGGTTCTGGGGTTCCATGCAGTGTTTGGGGTTTGAGGTTTTTTTTCTCTGGGTTTTCGGGGTGTTTCTTTTGGGTTCCATGCAGTGTTTTGGGGATTTTGGGGTGTTTTTTAGGTTTTTTGGCTTCCATGCAATGTTTTGGGGTTTTGGGGGGGATTTTGGGGTTCCATGCAGTGTTTTGGGGTTTTGGGGGGTTTTTTTCTGGGTTTTTTGGGTGTTTCTTGGGGGGGTTTTTGGGTTCCATGCAGTGTTTTGGGATTTTGGGGTTTTTGGGGGAAATTTGGGTTCCATGCTGTGCTTTGGGGTTTGTTTTGGGGGGGTTTTGGCGTTTTTTGGGTTCCATGTGGTGTTTTAGGGTTTCTTGGGAGGTTTTTGGGGTTTTTTGGGGAGGTTTTTGGGGTTTTTTGGGGAGGTTTCTGGGGTGGTTTTGGGGTTTTTTGGGAGGTTTTTGGGGTGCTCACCTTCTCCAGGGTCTCGATGCGCTGCTTGAGCAGGCGATTCTCAGAGCGGAGCCGCTGAGGGGACACAGAGGGGACAATGAGGGGACAATGAGGGGACAGGGAGGGGACAATGAGTGGTGATCCAGGTGTCCCCATGTCCCCCAGGTGTCCCCAGAGATGTCCCCAGGTACCTCCTAGGGGTCCCCAGGTGTCCCTGCAGCGTCCCCAGGGATATCCCAAGGTGTGCTCAGGTGTCTTTGCAGTGTCCCTGCAGTGTCCCCAGGGAAGTCCCCAGATGTCCCTGCAGTGTCCTTCAGGTGTCCCCAGGTGTCCTTGCAGTGTCCCCAGGGAAGTCCCCAGGTGTCCCTGCAGTGTCCCTCAGGTGTCCCCAGGTGTCCCTTGCAGTGTCCCCAGGGAAGTCTCCATGTGCCCCGGGTGTCCCCCAGGGATGTTCCCCACACATCCCTGGGTGTCCCTGCAGTGTCCCCAGGGATGTCCCCATGTCCCCATGTGTCCCTGCAGTGTCCTTGCAGTGTCCCCATGTCCCTGCAGTATCCCCAGGTGTCCCCAGTTGTCCCCAGGGATGTCCCCGATGTGTCCCTGCAGTGTCCCTCAGGTGTGTTCAGGTGTCCCCATGTGTCCCTGCAGTGTCCCCGGGTTGCGTTCAGGTGTCCCTCAGGTGTCCCCCAGGTGTCCCTGCAATGTCCCTGCAGTGTCCCCAGGTGTCCCCATGTGTCCCTGCAGTGTCCCCAGGGATGTCCCTCAGGTGTCCCCATGTGTCCCCAGGTGTCCCTGCAGTGTCCCCAGCTGGGTCACCTTGATCTCGATCTGCTCCTCCATCTCTTTGCTCTTGAGGGCGGCGTATTCCTTCTCCAGCCTGGGGACACACGGACAGCTGGGGACAGGGGGGACAGGGACACAGGGACAGGGACAGAGGGACAGGGATGGGACAGGGACAGAGGGACAGGGATGGGGACAGGGACACAAGGACAGAGGACACAGGGACAGCTGGGGACAGGGACAGCTGAGGACAGGGACAGGGACAGAGGGACAGAGGGACAACTGGGGACAGGGACACGGGGACAGGGACAGAGGGACAGGGATGGGGACAAGGACACAGGGACAGAGGGGGACACAGGGACAGGGACAGGGACACACGGACGGGGGACAGGGACACAGGGACAGGGACACAGGGCCAGGGATGGGGACAGGGACACAGGGACAGGGATAGAGGGGACACAAGGACACAGGGGACAAGGACAAGTACACAGGGACAGGGACAGGGATGGGGACACAGGGACGCAGGGCCAGGGACACAGGGCCAGGGCCAGGGACGCAGGGCCAGAGGGGACAAGGAGAAGGACACAGGGACAGGGTTGGGGACAGGGACACAGAGACAGGGCCAGAGGGACACAAGGACACAGGGACAGGGACAGAGGGGACAAGGACAAGGATACAGGGACAGGGATGGGGACAGAGGGACACAGGGACAGAGGGGACAAGGAGAAGGACACAGGGACAGGGATGGGGACAGGGACACAGGGACAGGGACAGAGGGGACACAAGGACACAGGGACAGGGATGGGGACAGGGATGGGGACAGGGACCAGGGCCAGGGACAGACACAGGGACACAGGGCCAGGGACAGACCCAGGGACGCGGGGCCAGAGGGGACACAGGGACACAGGGACAGGGATGGGGACACAGGGACGCGGGGCCAGAGGTGTCCCCTGACCTCTTCATCTTGCGGGGGTTGTATTTGACCTGGCAGGCGCGCAGGATCAGCTTGTCCGGGCACGAGTCGAACTGGTGAGGGATCACCTTCTGGAAATACTGCCAGAAACGGGGAATTCACAGCAAAAACGGGCCATGAGCACCAAAAATGGGGAAATTTTATACCAAAAATGGGCAATGAGCACCAAAAATGGGGAAATTTATACCAAAAACGGGCCGTGAGCACCAAAAATGGGGAATTTACACCAAACACGGGCCATGAGCACCAGAAATGGGGAATTTACACCAAACACGGGCCCGTGAGCACCAGAAACGGGGAATTTACACCAAAAACGGGCAATGAACACCAGAAATGGGGAATTTACAGCAAAAACGGGCCATGAGCACAGAAACGGGGAATTTATACCAAAAATGGGCCATGAACACCAGAAACGGGGAATTCACACCAAACACGGGCCGTGTGAGCACCAGAAATGGGGAATTTACACCAAAAACGGGCCGTGAGCACCAAAAATGGGGAATTTACACCAAAAATGGGCCGTGAGCACCAGAAACAGGGAATTTACAGCAAAAACGGGCCGTGAGCACCAAAAAATGGGGAAATTTTATACCAAAAATGGGCAATGAACACCAGAAACGGGGAATTTACACCAAAAATGGGCAATGAACACCAGAAACGGGGAATTCACACCAAACACGGGCCGATGAGCACCAAAAATGGGGAATTTACACCCAAACACGGGCTGTGAGCACCAAAAACGGGGGGAGATGAATTTACACCAAACACGGGCATATGAACACCAGAAACGGGGAATTCACAGCAAAAATGGGCCATGAACACCAGAAAACAGGGAAAATTCACCCAAAACCGGGGAATTTACACCAAACACGGGCCCGTGAGCACCAAAAATGGGGAAAATTATACCAAAAAATGGGCAATGAACACCAGAAACGGGGAATTCACACCAAACACGGGCTGTGAGCACCAGAAATGGGGAATTCACACCAAAAACGGGCCTGTGAGCACCAGAAATGGGCCATGAGCACCAGAAATGGGGAATTCACCCAAAAACAGGGCAATGAGCACCAGAAACGGGCCATGAACACCAAAAACGGGGAAATTCAGAACAAAAACGGGGGAATTCACCCAAAACCAGGCCATGAACACCAAAAACGGGCAATGAACACCAAAACCAGGGAATTCACCCCAAAAACGGGGAAATTCACACCAAAAAACAGGCCATGAACACCAAAAACGGGGAATTCACCCAAAAATGGGGGAATTCACACCAAAACGGAGAATTCACACCAAAAATGGGCAATGAACACCAAAAATGGGCAATGAACACCAAAAACGGGGAATGCACCCAAACATGGGCCATGAACACCAAAAACGGGGAATGAACACCAAAAATGGGCAATTCACCCAAAAACGGGGGAATTCACCCAAAAACAGGCCATGAACACCAGAAATGGGCAATGAACACCAAAAATGGGCAATGAGCACCAAAAACGGGGGAATGCACCCAAACACGGGCCATGAGCACCAAAAACGGGGAAATGAAACACCAGAAACGGGCCAGGAACACCAAAAACAGGGAATTCAGCCCCAAATTGGGGGAGAAAACCCACACAAGACAGGGAAAACCAACCCCAAATGGGGGAAAACCAGGGCAAAAACGGGGATGAACTCACCAAACCCACCCCAAATCCACCCAAATCCCACCCCATTGACGAAACCCCACCCCAAATCCACCCCAAATCCACCCCAAATCCCACCCCATTGACCAAACCCTACTCCAAATCCACCCAAATCCACCCCCAAATCCCATCCCATTGGCCAAATCCACCCCAAATCCCATCCCATTGACCAAATCCACCCCAAATCCACCCCAAATCCCACCCCATTGACCAAATCCACCCCAAACCCACTGCAAAACTCAATCCCATTGATCAACTCACCTCAAAACTCATCCTAAACCCCATCCATTGACCAAACCCACCCCAAATCCACCCTAAATCCCACCCCAAATCCCATCCCATTGACCAAACCCATCTCATTGGCCAAACCCACCCCAAAACTCATCCCACTGACCAAGCCCTCCCCACTGACCAAAGCCACCCCGATCCCACCCCATTGACCAACCCTACCCTAACCCCACCCCAAACCCACCCCAGTGACCCCAAACCCACCCCAAACCCACCCCAAACCCCACCCCAAACCCACCCTACTGACCAACCTACCCCAGTGACCCCAAACCCACCCCAATCCCACCCCATTGACCCACCCTACCCCAAACCTACCCCAAGGCCACCAAGCCCAGCCCATCCCAACCCCACCCCATGACCAAACCCACCCCACTGACCAACCCCACCCCAGTGACCCCAAACCCACCCCAAACCCACCCCAATGACCAAACCCACCTCAAACCACCCAAGGCCACCAAGCCCAGCCCATCCCAACCCCACCCCACTGACCCCAACCCCACCCCACTGACCAAACCTTGCCCCAAACCCATCCCAACCCCACCCCCACTGACCAAACCTGCCCCATGGCCACCCCACTGACCAAACCTACCCCGACCCCACCCCACTGACCAAACCCACCCTAAACCCACCCTAAACCCACCCCATTGACCAAACCTACCCCGACCCCACCCCACTGACCAAACCCACCCTAAACCCACCCTAAAACCCACCCCATTGACCAAACCCATCCCAAACCCACCCCATTGACCAAACCTGCCCCATGGCCACCCCACTGATCAAGGCCCACCCCAACCCCACCCCAATGACCAAACCAGCCCCATGGCCACCCCATTGACCAAACCCACCCCAAACCCACCCCAACCCCACCCCACTGACCAAACCAGCCCCATGGCCACCCCATTGACCAAACCCACCCCAAACCCACCCCATTGACCAAACCTGCCCCATGGCCACACCACTGACAAGGCCACTCCATACACACCCCACTGACCAAACCCACCCCAAACCCAACCCCAAGCCCACCCCACTGACCAAGCCCACCCCAAGGCCACCCCAGGGTCCCCCCGTTGCGGGGTCGGTACCTGGGACATGCCCTCCATGTCCAGCTGCACCAGCTCGGCCTGGTTGAACTGCAGCAGGGCCATCCCCACGCGGAACACGATCTCCAGACCCTGCCACCAGCCCCACACACGCTCAGCGAGGCCACCACGGGGTCACCATGGTCACCATGGGGACACCATGGTCACCTCAGGGCCACCCTGAGTCACTGGGGCCCACCCCATCCCTGCCACCAGCCCCACACACGGTCAGCGAGGCCACCATGGGGACACCATGGTCACCATGGGACCACCATGGCCACCACGGGGCCACCATGGCCACCACGGGGCCACCATGGTCACCACGGGGCCACCATGGTCACCACAGGACACCATGGTCACCACAGGGACACCATGGTCACCATGGGGACACCCCATCCCTGCCACCAGCCCCACACACACTCAGCGAGGCCACCACGGGGACACCATGGTCACCATGGTCACCACGGGACACCATGGGGACACCCCATCCCTGCCACCAGCCCCACACACACTCAGCGAGGCCACCACGGGGCCACCATGGTCACCTCAGGGCCACCCCGGGTCATCGGGGCCACCCCACCCCTGCCACCACCCCACCCGGTCAGCGTGGCCACCATGGGGACACCATGGCCACCCTGGGTCATCCCTGGGTCACCGCGGCCACCATGGCCACCACGGGGTCACCACCATGGCCACCACGGGGTCACCCTGAGTCATTGGGGCCACCACACCTCTGCCACCACCCCACCCGGTCAGCGCGGCCATCAGGGCCACCACGGGGCCACCTTGGTCACCCCAGGGCCACTCATCCCTGCCACTGCCCTGGCGGTCAGCGTGGCCATCAGGGCCACCTTGGGGCCACCTCGGGGCCACCACAGCCACCCTGGGTCATCCCTGGGTCACCATGGCCACCATGGCCACCACAGGGGCCACCATGGGGCCACCACAGGGCCACCCTGAGTCATTGGGGCCACCCCAGCCCTGTGACAGCCCCGCCTGGTCACCGTGGCCATCTTGGCCACCACGGGGCCACCACGGCCACCATGGGGCCACCACACCTCTGCCACCACCCACCCGGTCAGTGTGGCTACCATGGCCACCACGGGGGCCTCCATGGTCACCCGGGGTCATCGGGGCCACCCCACATCCACGCCAGGGCCACCTTGGGTGATCCCTGGGTCACCATGGCCACTCCAGAGCCACCTCTGGTCACCGGGGTCACCCTGTGGCCATGCCAGGGCTGCTCTGGGTCATCCCAGATGACCACGGCCACCCTGGGGCCACCTCAGAGCATCCCGGGGTCACCCCAAGGCCACCCTGGGGCCACCTCAGATCATCCCAGGTCACCACAGCCACCCCAAGGCCACCCTGGGGCCACCTCAGAGCATCCCGGGGTCACCAGGGCCGCCCCAGGGCCACCTTTGGTCACGCCAAGGTCACTTGGGTCACCCCAGGGTCCCCATGAGCAGTCACGGGGCCACCAGGGCCACCCTGGGGCCACCTCAGATCATCCGGGGTCCACCCCAAGGCCACCCTGGGGCCACCTTGGGTCAGGCAATGGCACCAGAGCCATTCCCAGGCCACCAGGGGGGATTGGTCCCACCCCAAATTCTGAGGGATTTGGTCAAACCCAAACCCATTTTTGAGGGATTTTGATCCACCCCAAACGTGTTTGTGAGGGACTTCATCAAACCAAGCCCATTTTTGGGGGATTTGATCCACCTGAAATTCATTTTTGAGGGATTTGGTTCCACCCCAAAACCATTTCTGAGGGATTTGGTCAAACCCAAAGCCATTTTTGAAGGATTTGATCCACCCCAAACTTGTTTTTGAGGGATTTCTTCCACCCCAATCTCATTCTTGAGGGACTTCATCAATCCAAACTCATTTTTGATGGGTTTGATCCACCCCAAAGCCATTTTTGAGTGATTTGGTCAAACCCAAACCCATTTTTGAGGGATTTAATCCACCCCAATCTCGGTTTTGAGGGGACTTCACCAACCCAAAGCCATTTCTTGAGGGATTTGGTCAAACCAAACCCATTTGTGAGGGATTTGGTTCCACCCCAAACTCACTTCTTGAGGGACATCATCAAACTAAACCCATTTTTTGATGGGTTTGATCCACCCCAAACCCATTTTTGAGTGATTTGGTCCAACCCAAATTAATTTTTGAGGAGTTTGATCCACCCCCAAACCCATTTTTGAGGGACTTCATCAAACCAAACCCATTTTTTAAGAGTTTGATCCATCCCAAACTCGTTTTTGAGAGACTTGGTCAAACCCAAACCCATTTTTGAGGAGTTTGATCCACCCCAAACTCTTTTTTGTGGGATTTCTTCCACCCCAATCTCATTCTTGAGGGACTTCATCAATCCAAACCCATTTTTGATGGGTTTGATCCACCCCAAACCCATTTTTGAGTGATTTGGTGAAACCCAAAGCCATTTTTGAAGGATTTGATCCACCCCAAACCCATTCTTGAAGGACTTCATCAAACCAAAGCCATTCTTGAGGGACTTGGTCAAACCCAAACCATCTTTGAGTGATTTGGTTCCACCCCAAACTCATTTTTGAGGGATTTTGGTCAAACCCAAACCCATTCTTGAGGGATTTGATCCAACCCAAACCCAGTCTTGAGGGACTTCATCAAACCAAACCCATTTTTGAGGGATTTGGTCAAACTCAAAGTCATTTCTGAGGGATTTGGTCAAACCCAAACCCATTTTTGAGGGATTTGATCCAACCCTAAACCCATTCTTGAGGGATTTGATCCACCCCAAACTCATTCTTGAGGGACTTCACCAACCCAAACCCATTTTCGAGGGATTTGATCCATCCTAAAACCCACTCTTGAGGGATTTGGTCAAACCAAACCCATCTTTGAGTGATTTGGTTCCACCCCAAAACTCATTTTTGAGGGACTTGGTGAAACCCAAACCCATTCTTGAGGGATTTGATCCAACCCAAAGCCATTCTTGAGGGACTTCATCAATCCCAAACCCATTCTTGAGGGATTTGGTTCCACCCCAAAAACCATTTTTGAGTGATTTGGTCAAACTCAAAGTCATTTCTGAGGGATTTTGGTCAAACCCAAACCCATTTCTGAGGAGTTTTGATCCACCCAAACTCATTCTTGAGGGATTTGATACACCCCAAACTCATTCTTGAGGGACTTCACCAAACCAAAGCCATTTCTTGAGGGACTTGGTCAAACCTAAACCCTTTTGTGAGGGATTTGATCAAACCCAAGCCCATTTTTGAGGAGTTTGATCCACCCCAAACCCATTTTTTACTGATTCAGTCCAACCCCAACCCATTTTTTACTGATTCAGCCAACCCCAACCCATTTTTTTGGGATTCAGTCCAACCCCAACCCATTTTTTTTGGGATTTTTCCCCCCCCCAGCCCCAGTTGGGTGGAAGGGGCGGCTCTGGGGTACCTCGTACATGAAGATGTCGAAGCCGCGCGTGGCCACGGGCAGGGGAAGGTGGTGAGGAAGAGGGTGAGGAACCACCCCAAGTCCTGAGGGATTTGGTCAAACCCCAAATTCTGAGGGATTTTGCTCAAACCCAAACCCATTTTTGAAGGATTTAATCCACCCCAATCTCGGTTTTGAGGGACTTCACCAAACCAAATTCACTCTTGAGGGATTTGGTCAAACCCAAACCCATTTTTAAGAGTTTGATCCACCCCAAACTCGTTTTTTGAGAGACTTGGTCAAACCTAAACCCATTTTTAAAGGATTTGATCCACCCCAAACTTGTTTTTGAGGGATTTCTTCCACCCCAATCTCATTCTTGAGGGACTTCCATCAATCCAAACTCATTTTTGATGGGTTTGATCCACCCCTAACCCCATTTTTGAGGGATTTGGTCAAACCCAAACCCATTTTTGAGGGATTTGATCCATCCTAAACCCATTCTTGAGGGACTTCATCAAACCAAACCCATTTTTTAAGAGTTTGATCCACCCCAAACCCATTCTTGAGAGACTTGGTCAAACCCAACCCATTTTTGAAGGATTTGATCCACCCCAAACTCGTTTCTGAGGGATTTCTCCCACCCCAATCTCATTCTTGAGGGACTTCATCAATCCAAACCCATTTTTGATGGGTTTGATCCACCCCCAAAACCCATTTTTGAGGGATTTGGACAAACCCAAACCCATTTTTGAGGGATTTCATCCACCCCAAACTCATTCTTGAAGGACTTCACCAAACCAAACCCATTCTTGAGGGATTTGGTCAAACCCAAACCATTTGTGAGGGATTTGGTTCCACCCCAAACTCATTCTTGAGGGATTTGGTGAAACCCAAACCCATTCTTGAGGAGTTTGATCCACCTGAAACTCATTCTTGAGGGATTTGGTTCCACCCCAAAACCATTTCTGAGGGATTTGGTCAAACCCAAAGTCATTTCTGAGGGATTTGTCAAACCCAAACCCATTTTTGAGGGATTTGATCCACCCCAAACCCATTCTTGAGGGACTTCACCAACCCAAAGCCATTTCTTGAGGGACTTGGTCAAACCAAACCCTTTTGTGAGGGATTTGGTTCCACCCCAAACTCATTCTTGAGGGACATCATCAAACTAAACCCATTTTTGATGGGTTTGATCCACCCCAAATGCATTTTTTGAGGGATTTGGTCAAACCCAAACCCATTTTTGAGGAGTTTGATCCAACCCAAACCCATTCTTGAGAGACTTGGTCAAACCCAAACCCATTTTTGAGTGATTTGATCCACCCCAAACCCATTTTGAGGGATTTGGTCAAACCCAAACCCTTTTTTGAGGAGTTTGATCCACCTGAAACTCATTTTTGGGGGATTTGGTTCCACCCCAAACCCATTCTTGAGGGATTTGGTCAAACCCAAAGCCATTTTTGAGGGATTTGCTCAATCCCCAAATTCGTTTTTGACCGATTTGATCAAACCCAAACCCATTTTTTGGGGGATTTGATCCACCCCAAACCCATTCTTAAGGGACATCATCAAACCAAACCCATTTTGAGGGATTTGATCCATCCTAAACCCACTCTTGAGGGATTTGGTCAAACCCAAACCCATTTTTGAGGAGTTTGACCCAAACTCATTTGTGAGGGACTTCATCAAACCAAACCCATTCTTGAGGGATTTGGTTCCACCCCAAAGCCATTTCTGAGGGATTTGGTCAAACTCAAAGCCATTTCTGAGGGATTTGGTCCTACCTCAAGTCCTTGAGGGATTTGGTCCAACCCAGATTAATTTTTGAGTGATTTGATCAAACCCAAACCCATTTCTGAGGGATTTGGTCAAAACCCAAACCCATTCTTGAGGGACTTCACCAAACCAAAGCCATTTCTTGAGGGATTTGGTCAAACCAAACCCTTTTGTGAGGGATTTGGTTCCACCCCAATCTCATTCTTGAGGGACATCATCAAACTAAACCCATTTTTGATGGGTTTGATCCACCCCAAATGCATTTTTGAGGGATTTGGTCAAACCCAAACCCATTCTTGAGGGATTTGATCCACCCAAACCCATTCTTTGAGGAACTTCATCAAACCCAAACCCATTTTTGAAGGATTTGATCCACCCCAAGCTCGTTTTTGAGGGATTTCTTCCACTCCAATCTCATTCTTGAGGACTTCATCAATCCAAACCCATTTTTGATGGGTTTGATCCACCCCAAAGCCATTTTTGAGTGATTTGGTCAACCCAAACCCATTTTTGAGGGATTTGGACAAACCCAACCCATTTTTGAGGAGTTTGATCCAACCCAAACCCCTTCTTGAGGGACTTGGTCACACCCAACCCATTTTTTGAAGGATTTGATCCACCCCAAACTCGTTTTTGAGGGACTTGGTCAAACCAAACCCATTTTTTAAGAGTTTGATCCACCCCAAAACCATTTTTGAGAGACTTGGTCAAACCCAAACCATTTTTGAGGGATTTGATCCACCCCAAAACCATTTCTGAGGGGACTTGGTCAAACCCAAAACCCATTTTTGAACGATTTGATCCACCCCAAACTCATTCTTGAAGGACTTCACCAACCCAAACCCATTCTTGAGGGATTTGATCCATCCTAAACCCACTCTTGAGGGATTTGGTCAAACCCAAACCCATTTTTGAGTGATTTGGTTCCACCCCAAACTCATTCTTGAGGGACTTGGTGAAACCCAAACCCATTCTTGAGGGATTTGATCCAACCCAAACCCATTCTTGAGGGACTTCATCAAACCAAACCCATTTTTAAGAGTTTGATCCACCCCAATCCCATTTTTGAGGAGTTTGATTCCACCCCAACCCATTTTTTTTAGTGATTTGGTCAAACCCAAACCCATTTTTGAGGAGTTTGGTCCAACCCCAACCCATTTTTTTTGGGATTTTCCCCCCCCCCAGCCCCAGTTTTGGTGGGAAGGGGCGGCTCTGGGGTACCTCGTACATGAAGATGTCGGAAGCCGCGCGTGGCCACGGGCAGGGGGAAGGTGGTGAGGAAGAGGGTGAGGAACCACCCCAAGTCCTGAGGGATTTGGTTCCACCCCAAATTCTGAGGGATTTGCTCAAACCCAAACCCATTTTTGAGGACTTTGATCCACCCCAAACTCATTCTTGAAGGACTTCACCAAACCAAACCCATTCTTGAGGGATTTGGTTCAAACCCAAACCCATTTTTGAGGAGTTTGATCCACCCCAAACTCATTCTTGAGGGATTTGGTTCCACCCCAAAGCCATTTCTGAGGGATTTGGTCCTACCTCAAGTTTTGAGGGATTTGGTCCAACCCAGATTAATTTTTGAGTGATTTGATCAAACCCAAACACATTTTTGAGGGACACCATCAAACCCAAACCCATTTTTTTGGGATTCAGCCAACCCCAACCCATTTTTGAGGGATTTGCTCCACCCCAAACCCATTTTTTACTGATTCAGTCCAACCCCAACCCATTTTTTACTGATTCAGTCCAACCCAAACCCATTTTTTACTGATTCAGTCCAACCCCAACCCATTTTTTACTGATTCAGTCCAACCCCAACCCATTTTTTACTGATTTGGTCAACCCCAACCCATTTTTTACTGATTTGGTCAACCCCAACCCATTTTTTACTGATTCAGTCCAACCCCAACCCATTTTTTTGGGATTCAGCCAACCCCAACCCATTTTTTGGGATTTTTCCCCCCCCCAGCCCCAGTTGGGTGGAAGGGGCGGCTCTGGGGTACCTCGTACATGAAGATGTCGAAGACGCGCGTGGCCACGGGCAGGGGGAAGGTGGTGAGGAAGAGGGTGAGGAACCAGGAGGAGGCGTACATGGAGGTGAGGAAGCTCTGGGAGCGGAAATGCACGTTCAGCTCCGGCAGCTGCTCCTGGGGACAACGGCCGCGGTCGGGGGCGGATTCGGGGGGAAAAACAACGGGAATTGGGAGGGGGAAAATGGGAATTGGGGGGGAAAATGGGAATTGGGGGGGGAAAATGGGGATTGGGGGGAAAAAAAGGGGAATTTGGGGTTGGACAAAATTGGGAATTTGGGGTTGGATTTGGGGAGAAAAATGGGAATTGGGGGGGACAAATGGGAATTGGGGGGAAAATGGGAATTGGGGAGAAAAACAGGAATTGGGAGTCAGGCAAACAACAGGAATTTCAGGTTGGACAAAAAATGGGAATTTGGGGTTGGATTTGGGGAGAAAAAATGGGAATTGGGGGGGACAAATGGGAATTGGGGGGGGAAAATGGGAATTGGGGGGGGGAAATGGGAATTGGGGGGGAAAAGGGGAATTGGGGGGGAAAATGGGGAATTTGGGGGGAAAATGGGGAATTGGGGGGCGGAAAGGGGAATTGGGGGAGAGAAATGGGGAATTGGGGGAGAGAAATGGGAATTGGGGGAAAAATGGGGATTGGGGGGGAAAAGGGGAATGGGGGGGGAAAATGGGAATTGGGGGAGAGAAACAGGAATTGGGGGTCAGACAAAAATGGGAATTTGGGGTTGGATTTGGGGAGAAAAATGGGAATTGGGGGGGGGGAAAGTGGGAATTGGGGGGGAAAAATGGAATTGGGGGGGAAAATGGGAATTGGGGGGGGGAAAAGGGGAATTGGGGGGAAAAACGGGGATTGGGGGGGAAAATGGGAATTGGGGGGGAAAGGGGAATTGGGGGGGAAAATGGGAAATGGGGGGGGAAAAAAACGGGAATTGGGGGGGAAAAAAAGGGAATTGGGGGAGAAAAATGGAAATTTGGAGTCAGAAAAAATCGGGAATTTGGGGTTGGACAAAAATGGGAATTTGGGGTTGGATTTGGGGAGAAAAATGGGAATTGGGGGGGAAAAATGGGGAATTGGGGGGAAAATGGGAATTGGGGGGGAAAAGGGGAATTGGGGGGGGGGAATGGGAATTGGGGGAGAAAAATGGGAATTGGGGGAAAAATGGGAATTGGGGGGGGAAATTGGGAATTGGGGGTCAGACAAAAAGAGGAATTACAGGTTGGACAAAATGGGAATTTGGGGTTGGATTTGGGGAGAAAAATGGGAATTGGGGGGGACAAATGGGAATTGGGGGGGAAAATGGGAATTGGGGGGGGAAAATGGGAATTGGGGGGGAAAATGGGAATTTGGGGTCAGAAAAAATCGGGAATTTGGGGGTCAGACAAAAATGGGAATTTGGGGTTGGATTTGGGGAGAAAAATGGGAATTGGAGGAGAAAAGGGGGAATTGGGGGGGAGAAATGGGAATTGGGGAGAAAAACGGGAATTTGGGGTCAGACAAAATTGGGAATTTGGGGTGGGATTTGGGGAGAAAAATGAGAATTAGGGGGGAAAAAATGGGAATTGGGGGAGAAAAATGGGAATTGGGGGGGAAAAATGGGAATTGGGGGGGGAGGAAAAGGGGAATTGGGGGGGGAGAAAAGGGGAATTGGGGGGGGAAAGGGGAGGTTGGGGGAGAAAAACGGGAATTGGGGGGAAAATATGGGAATTGGGGGGGAAAAGGGGAATTGGGGGAGAAAAACGGGAATTGGGGGAGAGAATGGAATTGGGGAGAAAAACGGGAATTGGGGGTCAGACAAAAATGGGAATTTGGGGTTGGATTTGGGGAGAAAATGGGAATTAGGGGGGACAAATGGGAATTGGGGGGAAAATGGGAATTGGGGAGAAAAACAGGAATTGGGGGTCAGGCAACAACAGGAATTTCAGGTTGGACAAAAATGGGAATTTGGGGTTGGATTTGGGGGAGAAAAATGGGAATTGGGGGGGGGATAATGGGGGAATTGGGGGGAAAACGGGAATTGGGGGGAGAGAATTGGGAATTTGGGGTCAGACAAAATTGGGAATTTGGGGGTTGGACATAAATGGGAATGTGGGGGTGGGATTTTGGGAGAAAAATGGGAATTGGGGGGGGAAAATGGGAATTGGGGGGGGAATATGGGATTTGGGGGGAGTAAATGGGAATTGGGGGGGAAAGGGGAATTGGGGGGGAATGGGGATTGGGGGGTAGGGAATGGGGGGAAAATGGGGAGAATCTGGGAGGGGGGCGTAAAATGGGAATTGGTTGGGGAAAATGGGAATT